ATGATGAGATTAGACGAAATGCAGGAACATAAGGATGCAGCTGATCGGTCAAAGCATTCGAGCGAGCAATCAGCACCTGTTCAACAGAATGAGGAGGCCGATGATGATTACTACGATGGTTACCTACTTTCTGGCTATTATGGGCCAGGCACATACGAGGAAGATCATAACATCCCCGTCCTTGCTAGCAATAGCAACCCATTAGCAAATCGCCAATCCGTCAGCAACGAAATCGGGAGAATGAATAGTAACGCCAGTGCAATCTCAGGGATTAGCGCCCCTCCTGCTTATGATCAGTTTGCGATTCCAGACGACAACCTAGTGCATCCGTTCCCAGAATTCCGTGCTAGTGCTAAGAGTGACCTGCCAGGAACTGGCGGACTTTCGAAGCCGTCTGCTCATTTGAGAAAAATGTCGTTTGATGAAGGAGAAGAAGACATCAACAGATCTGCTTCTCAAAGTCCTTCGAAGAACCAGTCTGATTCAGATGGCTCATATATACCCGAATTATTCTATCATCCACCACCAAGCATGAGCAGCGCACAAAACAGCCCATTGCATACTAGACCATTACCAAGTCCTCCTGACTATGATAATTTTTCGGAAACGGGGTCGCCAGGAATTTACTCGGGATTGCCGTACCCTGATACCGGATCGCCTATACACCATCGAAACTCACTTGGCTCAAGGCCACCCCTATCAACACGGCAATATGGTACTCCTATCTCAGCAGAAGGTATCGGCTCAAATATCCAGCCTCAAGGATCGGGGCCGCATTTCCCCCGATCAACAAGTCTGTCTAGCCATACAAGTACTCCTCCAACGATAGTTCCTAACAGGTCTAAAACGGACGGAAAAGCACACCCAACACGTCAACTTATTGGCAATAGGAATTCAATTCATTCGAGCGGTGGAACCCTCGGGGACGCCGAGGGTCTGACTATCAATGACCTTCCCCCGATACCGATGACGAAGAAATTTGATCCCAAGAAGCTGAGTAGTCGGGACTTTAAGAAGTGCGAAAGGCCATGGGCTCTCAGCTCAATTAAATCGTGGTTGACAGAGATGACCGAAGGAGAGCAAGATCTGAAAGAGGGTGCAGTAGCGGATGGGATCGTGGCGCTGTTTACACACTTTGTTCCAACTATGAATGTAGCCGATGCAGAAACATTAGCGATTAAGGTTGTTAGTGGCATGCTGAAGGAGAAAGCATTGGTAAAGGAGGAAGAGTGGGTCAAGTTTGGAGAGGGCGAGGTCTCAGGCGTTATATACCAGGTCACCGGCAACGGATGTTACGCCCCGAAGCTACACGAGCTCGAATCTCCTGGCCGGTGTTATGCTCATCATTGTGCAAGGACCCTCAGGAAGATTACTTTGTCACAGAATCCCGATGAGATGATAAAGAAAACCGAAGATTGGGCGACATTCTGGAAAATAAAGAAAGAGCAGTTGGGGGAAGTGAGTAAGAAAGAAATCGAGAGGCAAAACAATTTGCACGAGGTTGTTCAGACTGAGGATGAGTATATGGAACATTTGCGAATATTGAAATCGCTCTACAGGGACACAATCGCAAGTAGTAACCCGTCGATCATCAAGCCATCTCGCTTGGAAGGATTCATTAAGGATGTATTCGGCGCCGCAGATGCGGTCCGCCGAGTTTCAGAGGAGCACTTACTACCGCAATTGAAGTTCAGGCAACAGGAGCAAGGACCATGGGTTGTTGGCTTCAGTGATATCTTCAGGGAGTGGATCCGCAAAGCAAAGACAGCATATCTAGCTTATGCAGCAGCATTCCCGAAGGCGGATATGTTGGTCCGAAGAGAAGCCGAACGTAATATAATATTTAGGCAGTTCCTTGATCAATGTCGCTCGGATCCTCGCTCACGAAGATTGGATTGGGTCACATTTTTGAAGGCTCCGATTACCAGACTTCAGCGATATTCGCTGCTCCTTGCTACTATCTTGAAGCATACTGTCGCCGAGAGCGATGAAAAAGATAACCTAGCCCGAGCAATTGAGGAGATCAGAGCAGTCACCTTAGAATGTGATTCGAAGGTTGACGAGATGAGCAAGAGTGTGGCGCTGCAGGAGCTAGGTCAGAAACTGATCATGCGTCAGTGGGACGTCGACCTGATGCTTGGCGAGAAAGGCCGCGAGCTCGTCTTCAAAGGGGATTTACAACGGAACGGAAGCAGTCGTTTCGCTTGGCTAGAGACTCACGCGATTCTCTTCGACCATTATCTTGTATTGGCTAAAACTACAATGCAACGTGACGTGAATGGTGGTGCAAAACATGAGCGGTACGATGTCTCTAGAATGGTGGGTATTTTTCAAAAACTCGAGTTTAATCTTATTAGCGTTATACTAATTTGGTTCAACAGCCAATACCTATGGATCTTTTGGTTCTCGAAAGCACAAATGACGATCCAGTGATGCGGAGTGCTGCTAATAGGCTAGGAATTGGAGGCCCGACGGCTGCTAACAAAGCTATCGTTCAACCCGCGAATCTACGGCAAAATACTGGAATAGCAGATTTGAAGCATTCTAATACCAGCCTTTCAGCACTTAGCGTATCCACTGCGCCAGGAAGACTGGTAACAACAATCCCAGACCAGAACGCAAAGGATGATAGGGTGATGTTCCCTTTTCGCATCAAACACCTTGGAAACCCCTCCCGCTCTCTCAAGGCCGATGATAATACCTACACGCTTTACGCCCCAACCGCGGCGAACCGCCAAGAATGGTGCGAGAAAATCATTCAGGCAAAAGAAAAGCATGCGGCAGCTTTGTATGCACAGAATGCAGAGCCTTTTAGACTTAAGGTTATGGCAGACACAGCCTTTGGGTACGAAACTGCAGCAGCTTCAGGGCCAAAGCCGATTGTTGTGAGAGGAACCCCACTGGATCGTGCAATTGATGAGGTCGAGAAAAGGTTCCAGAACGAGCCTAGGAAACCCGTTATGTGCAGGGCCAGCGTGAACTGTGCGACTGCCTTTACGGTACAGTTTAAGAAAGAAATGGTAGCTATTGGGACGGATTATGGAGTATACACAGCGGCTGCGGATAATCCTAGAGAGTGGAAAAGGGTTTGTTGCCCTATTATTTTGAATTGCGCTCAAAAATATTAACTAACCATTCCTTGTATAGGCGATTAATATCTTGCGTGTCACTCAAATTGCAGTGTTGGAGGAGTTTAGTTTATTCCTAGTCTTGGCCGACAAATCACTTATCGCTTATCATCTCGATACTGTTGTTGAGCCAGGAGACGGTGGGGCGGGGGGTGATGTAAAGCAACGGCCACCACAAAAATTATCCGGTGGAAGAGATGTAGGCTTCTTTGCTACAGGGAGGATGAAGGAGCGTAGTTTAGTCTTCTACAAACGCCGAGATGGATTGAACTCCACGTTCAAAGTACTGGAGCCAGTTTTCCCCAAAGCGCCTGAGAAAAAGAGTCGGTTCTCAAGAAAAGGGACCACTGAATTTTTCAGAGATTATGGCGACTTTTATATCCCAACTGATTGTTATGGAATCAATCTCTTCCACTCAAGTTTGGCGATTCAGACAAGTAAAGGTTTGTTCCATCGACTTTATCTTGATCTATCCTAGGTGACAAGCACTAATAGATTTGGTATAGGTTTTGAGGTTATGACGCTAGACAAGAAGCAACCCTGGTCTGTTCCCGAGCTTAAAGCTTCTCATGTCAACGACATTGCTACTCGGCTCCAAGGACAAAAACCACTTGGGATGTTCCGTCTTTCCGAGATTGAATTCCTCCTGTGCTACGAGGAGTGTGGTGTCTACGTCAACAAGCACGGCGACGTTTCCCGTGGTGTAATAATGGAGTTTGTCGGAAAGGCCAAATCGGTAGCGATTTATGGGCCTTATATCCTGGTGTTTGACAGCGACTTTGTCGAGATCCGAAACGCAGAGAACGGCAGATTAAGACAAGTAATTGCCGGGAGAGATTGCAGATGCATTGACGATGCACAATCTGGAGGCAGTGCCGGTACAAGAACTATCAAGGTGGCTATGGCACACCCAGAGGTTGAAGGCAGACAGTTGGTAGTTGAGTTACTCCTCAACGAAGGGCAGAGAGATTAGTCTTGGAAAGCAGCGCTGTAGTGGTGTATATACTGGGGGTCAGTTCATTTTTGTCGATTTCTCTTCCTTATGTATCTGTTGGGCGATGTGATGAAGGTTGCGATATCCAATAGTGCAAACCGGCGGAATGCACCGAGAGTTCCTAGTTTATTTTGTCTTCGTTATCTGTAGGGTAGTCAGTTTAGTCGATCCGGGGGTTTATCCTCTTTCTTTCTCCGTATTTTCTTTCGTATTTTTTTTTATTTTCTTTTATTCATTTTTATTCCTTTTTCTTGTCCTAGTTTCAATACCTTTTTACTTTAGTTTTCTTCTTCACTCACATACCTCTGTAGTCCATCCAGTTTCGTTGTTATCGTTCCCTTGTGACAGCTAGCTAGCGTCCGCGTGGTCGGGGGAGGTGAGGGGGAGGGGCTCCATGTACAACCATACTTTACTTACACCTGTGCCGGTTTCATGGTGCTTTATTTTTTTCTAACCACGAGTTTATTGATCTGTACGAGAACCTGTAGTTATCAGTTTTTTTGAATGCCTAAACCTATTATAACTTCCCATAATCCCATCCACCAACACAGTCCATCACTCGACACCCCCCCCCTCCCACATAGAGATTTACCCGGCTCTAAGCTAGCTAACCGGCTAGTAACCTCGCTTGTAGCCAACTAGCTAGCCGAGTCCCAATGCTGCACAGGGATGTTCCCAACGTCATACCGCGAAGCTGGCGAGTAGCTAGCTGCCATGGCCGGACCGAGGCCCCACGCGCATACGTCGGAACATGATTTCCAAGCATCTGATGTAGAGTGCCATATAAATTCCCCCCTCCCCCGGATGCCAGATCTCTTGGGACCATAATTGCGTATTGGTTATTTGGTACTTCTGTTTTTATTATTATTATTGTTGCAATGACTGAGAACTCTGCTCCTGCTGCTGGTGGTGCTGGTGGTAATGATCGTGAGGAGCATCCAAAGATCATTTTGTACCATTATGTATGTTTTTTCTCCTCCAATGACGGTTCTATTGATCATGGAGCTTCTTCTTCTGGAGAGGAAGTTTCTGTTCCACATATACCTATACCAATTGTCAGCCCAGAGCACCCATAGCTAACACCCAAAACCGCCCCACAGCCATTCAGTCCCTGGGCCCACAAAGTCAGCTGGTACCTCAACCTGCGCGGCATCAAATACCAAGAATGCGTCCGTCTCCCCTCCTCCCTCCTCTTCACCCTCTCCCTCCCCCCCTCAAACAACCCCCCACTCACAAACCGCATAGATCCAACCGCCCATCATCCCGCGTCAAGACCTGGCCATCCTCGGCATCACCTACCGGCGCATCCCGCTGCTGGCCATCGGAAACGACGTCTACATCGACACCACCCTGATCCTGCGCGAGCTCGAGCGGCGCTTCCCGAACGGCGGGCTCGACACGGACCCGCAGCGGTCGCTGGAGTATGCGGAGCGTAGCAATGGCATGTTTCCGTTTGCCGCCGGGTGCATTCCGAGTAGCTTGCCGATTATGAGGGATGAGAGATTTATCAAGGATAGGAGCCAGTTTAGTGGGAGGGTAGGTTTATCTTCCGTGTGTGTGTGGGGTGGGGATGTTTTTTTTTTTTTTTTTTTTATTTGGGGGGGGGGGGGGGGGGGTGGGGGGTATTTGGGGCATTGTGCTGATTGTTGGGGAATAGAGCTGGAAGAAGGAGGATTTAGATGCGGCACGGCCAAAGGTTTGTGGGTTTGGTTACTAGTGGAAGAAGGCGGATGGTAGCTGATGTAGTGTAGGCTCTCGCCGGCGTACGCAAAGCTTTCGAAGCCGCCGAAAAAGACCTCTCCGACGGCCGGGACTGGATCCTCGGCAAAGAGCTCTCCCTCGCCGACATTGAAGGTTCCACCCCCCCCCCCCCCCCCCAAATCCCCCTCCCGCTACACACCTACTAACCCCCGCAGTCGTCTGGCCGCTCGAATGGGTGATCAGCATGCCCGGCGCGCTCCTCAACTCCGACATCACCCCCGAAACCTTCCCCAAGACCTTCGCGCACATCACCCGTCTCAAAGCGCGCATCCCGGGCTCCAAGGCCGCGGGCGTCACCAGGATCAAGGGCGAGGAGGCCAAGGCCGTGATCCTCTCGTATCACACGCAGCAGGAGGAGACGGGGAACGTTGGTGTGACGGACAACGATCCGAGCGGGGTGACGTGGGGCGAGGAGGTGGAGATTACGCCCGTGGATACGGGGCGGGCGAACCCGCAGAGGGGGCGGGTGAGGGAGTTGAGTAAGGAGAAGGTGGTGGTTGAGGTTGTGCCGACGGGGGAGTATCATGGGAAGGGGAGGAAGGCGCTGAGGGTGCATTTTCCGAGGGCGGGGTATGAGGTTGTGAGTACGAGTGCGAAGGGGGATGAGAAGTTGTAGATGGGTGTTTGTAGTGGGGGTGTAGTGCAAGTTAGTGTAAAGAAGTATATGTGAGAGGGAAATGTTTGGTAGATGTAGCTGGGCAGCCATTGTTTGCGAATGACGGCCTGGATTGCTCCATGGTTGGCCACGGCTGTCTTTGCCTTCCCAATTTCTTTAGCTGAAAAGGGTGTTTGTTGAACAGAGTTAGTTGCCTTCTGTGTGTTTGTCTTTTTGACGGTAGGTTCTGGTTGGTACGAGCTGCAGCCTTCATTAAATATCACTCGGCGCCGAGACATCCGAGAACGGTGCAGTGGACCGGATCGACCGGAGGGGTAATCGTCTTTGATTCTATCTACTGATGACCACGAGGAAGAATAATAGTCAACTGGACATCTAGAACACTCGCGCAATTGAAACCTTTTCGCTCGGGTGTCGTGGAGAGCAGGCAAGCTTGGTGACGAGCGAAACAGAAGAGGTCATCCTGATAGACCTTTGTTCATATCGCATACATTGGACCACGGACACAAGCCGGGCCGAGCCTGTGAGATTGAGAGCTCGCGCTGTGTAGACTTTGGATCATTGACTTCTCACAGCAGGATAACCCGCCGGTCCCGCCCCGAGGTCTAATTGACGTGGACTGAAACAAGATACAACACCGAGCTCCCGGAAGTATAGTATAATTAGATCTTGGACGTCTATACGACTGTTATTTATAATGGATCAAACCGGCCGCGGCCGAGGTGTCCGGGGACATCTATGATAGACAAGCTACATGTAGCCATAGTGTTGGGAGCCCTCGACTATGTGTGTCATGTAATCCTACAAGTCCGCGGACTCTCACTGGAAACAAGGAAGGTGAAACAAAACCGGAGGTGCCGCGGCTTGTCGGCCGGGGCGCTGAATAGTCTATTTTAGACTGGGAATCGGGATGTGCATGGCAGCACAGATGGTGTGAGGTCGAAAAAGCATGATATGACTTGGCTCGTAAACACCCGCCCGCATACCGACTAGATGTTTTTTTTCCCTCCGCTGCTGGGATTTCGCCCAGCATTAGAGTTGGCAGAGTGCTATTCTATGGCAGCCGAGTGATCGTTCGTGAAGGTGTCTTGCGTAGTATTGCACGGTTACTATCTGACATGGAGTGATGCTTGCTGTTTGAGAGCAGTGCCTGCTGTTAGATAGCAGTGTCTGCTGTTAGATAGCCGCACAGTTGAAAGATCTGAGATCAAGATCCAGCTCAACGCATGGCAGTGGCGAAGGAAGAGCGGGAAGTCTACGCTTAAGCTTCTATTCAACTCTCCCTGTACATGTTGAGCTCAGGCGGATGGATGTCTCTCGGGCTTAATTGAGCCTTTGGCTCTAACTATTGCTAACTTCCGAAGTTTCTGCGGCAGGCATAAGACCTGTTCCTGCACTATTGACAGGGCTCCCAGGTAACCAAAGTGCTCTACATCTGTAATATCACCATGGGGCAGTCGCTATAATTCGATCGAACAAACCGCTGAGCCTGAATGGGAGTTGGGATCGATCCGCGCTCTTGCGATAAGCCACTGCAGCATGGCCAGCTACGTGTACGGTCTGCACCGCGGTAAGGATTCCCCCTTCCACAGCACCGCGCCGTCCAATGAAAACCTCAGAGCAGCAGAACGACATCGATCGCATCACATCACATCACATCATGCCGTGCACCATCACCATCACCACCAGAGCGGAGGATCCTCTGGAGCTTCGCAATCACAGCTGAAATTGCACTTCCTCTTCTTCTTCTTCTTCTCCTCTTCAATTCCCACCTACCCACCTAAATACATACATACATACATACATACATACCCCGCCAGAAACCAGCACTCACAGCAATAACAGAACATCAACAATCCCCCCCCCCCCCCCCGCAATGTCAGTCCTGATCTCCGCAGAGTCCACTCTGCCCACCCACCCGCCCTGGAAGTCCATCCCCGGCATCTACAACTTCCGCGACCTCGGCGGCTACCCCATCCAGGGCAGCACCGGCAGCGTACCACTCCCCGCCCCCTCCCCTCCCCGCTACAACCCATACTCACCCCGCACAGGTCCGGCGAAACCTCATCTACCGCGCCGCCGAGCCCTCGCGCGTCACCGCCGACGGCATGGCCGTCCTCGTCGCCACCCTCAACGTCACAGCCACCTACGACCTGCGCTCCAACCCCGAGATCGAGAGCCTCTCCGACACCTGCCCCGTCATCGAGATCCCCGGCATCACCCGCCACTTTGTCCCCGTCTTCGAAGAAGACGACCTCAGCCCCGAGTACCCTCCCCCACCCCCACCCCCTCCCCGCGCCCCACCTACTAACACCCCCGCTCCCAGGGCCCTCGCGAAGCGCTACAGCTCCTACACCAGCGGCGACCTGCCGAGCGCCTACCGCTCCATCCTCACCGCCGGCGCGCTCCTCTCCTACCGCGCCATCTTCACGCACCTGCTCGAGCGCCCCACGGAGCCGCTCGTGATCCACTGCACGGCCGGCAAGGACCGCACGGGCGTCGTGTGCGCCCTGCTGCTGATGCTCGCGGGCGTCGACGACGAGTTCGTGGCCGCCGAGTATGCGCTGACGGAGGTGGGGCTCGAGCCGTTCAAGCAGGCGATTCGGGAGCGGCTGCTGGGCAGGCCGCAGTTTGTGAAGGGCGATGAGGAGGCGAGGAGGGGGTTGGAGAATATGTTGAGTTCGACGTATGTGTTTCCCCCCCTACTTTTGTTTTGTGAGCTGGGGTGAGAGCGGGGGGGCTGATGTGCGGGGGGGAGGACAGCGTCGAGACAATGCGCCGCACCACGGCTATGATACGCGACGAGTTTGGCGGCGTGGAGGCGTACATGGTGCGCGACTGCGGGTTCACGGCGGAGCAGGTGGCGGCCATAAAGCGCAACATCACGAGCGAGGAGCGGCCGTGCTTTGGGCTGGATGCGCAGGGGGAGCTGGTGTATGCGGAGCAGAAGGGGGAGGAGTAGAGTAGGGTGCGATGGTGGGGTGGGGGTGTATATTCTTTGGGGCTGTGGCCCGGCGGGTCCGGGTGGGTGTAGCTAGCTGGGATGGGATGGGCTGCCGGTGGTGGTGGCTGGTGTTGGTGGAGGGACGGGGTGGGAATAGAAATGGATTCTTTTTCACTTCTTTATGGAGGTTCATGGGTGGTCACTCGGTGGTGGTGGTGGAGGGTTTATGGGCTGCGTAGATCTAGATCTCCGGTTTGCAGTACTTAGAACTTCTTACTCCCGTTTTTCTTACCCTGCATGCTCTTTGAAAAACAACGACGTTTAACCAGCTAGCTACCTTAAAGGTAATGATGGGCACGAGACAAGACGAGACCATTTTACACCAAGTCTCGTCTTGTCTTGTCTCGCCCCACCATAGCCTTGGAAGTCTCGAGACCTGAGGTAAGTCTCGGGACGGATCTCGAGACTGTTATAAGCTAAACTCAATCCGGATTTGAGGTAAGAAGTTGTACCCAAATCCGTTAACGTTCACTTTTGAACAGGGACCAGAAATTCTTGACAATAAATTGTGGATAGAATTCGGGTCCAAAATGCACACTCGATTTTCAGAAGCCTGTATATGGGGAAATCTGAGCATGAGGAAGCCTAAATATTAGGAAGAGCCCTTGGTTTGGATCATTTAACATCACTCGGAAGTCTCGAGACTTATCTCGAGATTTGGAGAAAAACTCTCGAGACATCTCGTCTTGTCCCAGGGTCGTCTCGTCAGGTCTCGAGACTTAGTCTCGAGACTAAGTTTCGGGACTGTGAGTCTCGTGCCCATCATTACTTAAAGGAGAAGAGAAAAAAAAAGGCTAGCTAGAAGCTCCACCCAGCCCGGCCCTGAATCTCATTCTACAATAGACGAAAACATGGCCTGTTTGAGCTACATACATAGAAGGTCCAGTGCTTAATACCGACCCAGGCTTATTACTGCTCCCCACTAGGGGTCCTGGGCGGCGGAATTAGGTAAAGTGATATGCCGGCGAACTTGGTAGACGAACCCAGTGTTCTGGTCACAGTAACCTACGTAGCAGTAGTTATAATGACAAACCCGTAGTAGCCACCACCACCACCGAGGGGGGTTCTTGGACGGGGGAGAGGGAGGGAGGGCGGTGGTTCTAAATGGGCCTGGAACTAGCTGGAAATCACGGCGGTGTGTGGTTTGTGGGTTGTAGTACGACCGGCTTGGGCTGAGTAGATAGTGGGAATAGCTAGCTTTGAGAGCTATTTCTCGTGGCTTCGGGGGTGGGGAGTGGGCTTCGGGGGCTTCGAGAGCTGGCGGTGGAGTTGTGGCTGGCCCGGGGTTGGTTGAGACGGTGCTCTAAGGTGTGGGATATTCTAGATGGAAAATGGGGATGGATTGGATGGATAGATGCGCCCACCCGTACGGACAATCTTATCTACGTATAACCCAAGCTTGACAAAGTTTGCCTCCACTAATTCTCTTTTCTTCTTCCCTATGTTTTTACCCTTTATGATAGTTGTTGTTTCTCGCTCTCACGATTTGTCTATATCCCCGCAGCTCAAAAAAAAAAAAAAAAAAAAAAAAAAGAAGCTCCGTGAGGATTCGAACCCCTTCTTCCTATTATTTCTACCTATTCTAGCGAATCTCCAAGGTAGAATGTGCGCTGGAATGGATGGTAAAGATGTTCTTAGCGGTACCCGCTAGTAGACATCATTACTTGAAGTCGAAGTTGATTGATAAGAAAGATAAAGATCTGCGAGCCAAGCCCACTCTCCCTTGGCACCATAGAAAGGTAGAAATAAGATATTGGGTCTTGGAAGATCAAGTAATGTTAATGGACGCCGTACATATTAAGTACAGTCTAAAGGTCCCTTTATGGAACCATCGGCGAGGCTGGTGTGTTGTAAATTTGTGTTATCTACTGCGCTGCCGGTATGAACGCATTCGTTTCCTTTATCTGCGCGTTTGTTTTATGAAACTTGAGTTGATCATTTAGGTCTAATTTCTAAGTGAGTATTTCCAGCAAAAGTTTAATCTACCATTTAACAGATCATAAGTTTGGGTGTCTTTTCGTGTCAAACCAGCGAGCTGGGGACGGTGGTTATCGGTCAAGAGTAGATCAAAGTTTCACTCAGATACGTCCTCGCTTCCATCTTCTCCCGTTGTATCAGAAGTGGATGACTATAATGAGATATGGGTAGCCTATGTATCTTGTTGATCGATGTGATTGTCAATGTGACCAATCTGGCGAGGAGCGAGTGAGTCATAATGTATCACTCGACAGCACCACACACGTGGATGTCACGAGTTGCCTCGTGTACTTATCCGCAACAACCAACCTTAACCACCACGTGAATCAAATCAAACACAAACTTTGAACACCCAAGGACCACGCAGTCGCCCGCCCTATTAGCGGTACAATTCTATATGCTACCAGGGACGAAAGCCCGCTTGATTATTTATACACCGGCGTCCTACTATGCATACGCATCACTAACAACAACCTTCACCCACAAAGCACACCGACCACCTCTAACATAGGCCAGGAGTATGAGCGCTCCCCTTAAACACTTGTACCTCGATCATTTGTACCTCAACTTCGACATCCTGAAAAAGTACCAACGCAACCTGCTCGCCCACCAGAAGCATCTCACCGAGAACCTCGCATGTATGGCCCGCAGTGCCAGTCCCACTCTAACGGCTACCAAGGAGTCGCTAGCAGCGAAGCTGGATAAGCTGGAGGCCCAGATTAGCCATGCGGAGGGGAAGGCCGTGAAGCTGGAGAAGCAGATCTCGGAGGCGCTGGACGCGTATAAGAAGAGCCGGGATAGCGGTCCTCAGCCGGAGTCTGTACCGTAGGTGTTTTTGAACTGAGGGGTAGGATATAGTTGTAATTAAAGTTCTGGCATGGAGTAGGGCTGCAAGGTATTGAATAGGAAATATTGTCAAGTTAGGAAGGGGGAAAATTTTACCGAGTGATGGGCTATGACTACCGGCTCGGATTTCAGTCTGGCAGCACACTGATTGCTTTTTTTTTCGAAAACACCCCAAGCTGTGCCCAGAGAATAGTGCCGCGACGCCCATGATGTTGCATGCAGCTGGAGTAATATATCGACAGGTTCCAACAGGCCCACTGTGCGACCAAGCTGAAGCTGCGTATTCTAACCAAGCCCCCTATCGTATCGTTACAGACCGCTCTCGTTCTCGTATACTCTACTTATACGATAGTTATTGATGATGAGACTTACATCACACACTATAGCTATCCCACAACCACCCAATGAGAGCACGAGGAAGTGCAACGCAATCCGGCCATTTAGCCACGAGATTGCTCGCAACCGCCACGGCCGCAACCATCACTGCCCATCACTCGCCCACCCCCTCAACCACTCAACCACTCAACCCCTCTCGCCCCTCATCAATCCCTAACGATCCCCGGTAGGCCATACCCATCAGCCCCCCCTCAAATGACAGCCAACACTCTCTCCGCCTGCACTTTCTGGCCTGATTCGAGCCACGCGTAATCTCGGCTCGGTCTTCGGGCTCCGGTTCTCATCCCGGCAGCATAACCGTAATTTCCTTGATTAGGCCCATCGCTGCCGAATCGCACTTGACTCACAATCCCGAGAACGTTTGGTGCCAGGGATGTGTGTAACGGCGACCTCCAACCTTGGGTGGTGTGCGCCTAGCCATCCTCAGGCGAGCATCAACGTGGCTTGGTATGCACACGTCGATCTTGTGTGTTTGATCCTTGACCCTTGATTATGTAACTGGGAAGGAAAAGTCTGTAACAGTGTTAGTGCTGTGGCTGGTTTCGAACATCTTTGATAAGCATATAATCTGCCTAAACACATATACTATTATCTTGGTGATGTCATCAAGTTAGATCAGTTGAGGTTAATGATATCAACTAGTGTGGCTATAGTGTCAAATATATCATTGCCCACCAAACATTGGCAAGCCATCGCAGAAATCTCTATCAATCGCATCACAATTTCAATCATCAACACCATATTATATATACGTTAATGAACTCAAATCGAGTGAACCCCTCCCCAGTTAAAAAGTACAAAACAAGAAATCCTCCATAATGCCCAGCTAGAGAGGTAACGTGCATGCTGAGACCAGCATCCCGGAAAACAATATAAAAAAAAAAGAGAGAGAAAAAGAAAGAAAAAAGGAAAAACACCGTATTCCCGAACACCCGATTACTATCCATTTTTATAACACAAAAAGGCTTTCAGAAACAAGAAGGGAATAAAAAAAAAGTGATTACGAAAAATTACGAGTTAAATGAAGGGCAGCCATAGGCCAGTAAGAATAACAATGAAGTAAAAATATCAAAAAAGAGCCTGGATAAGCAAGCTGCAAAACCCTGTAAACACCTCAATAAGAAGAAGAAAGCCAACACGCTAATATATGAGAATGAAAATATCAAACCGCAAAACAATAAGCCGCCCTCAAACATTTTCAGTAGTACCGGTTTCAATACCGGCCTCGATTTTAAGCCTCTTTATGAGCCTTTCGTTCATTCTATACCACGTTCCACCATTGTTTTTCTTTACCAATGGGCTCTGTTTTATTGGTAGCCACCAATCCCAAATGCTATATCCTAGTACTTCTCTGAAATTATCAAGCATGTTGTCCAGCCTCCATGGGTTTTCTCCCTGTTTTGTATTGACGATAGCGAAGCATCTAGACTCTTGTCCTTCCTTAGGATGTTCGGGGAGATACACTCGGTGCACAAGTGGGCGACCTCCGGGTCCTGGTGCGGGTGGGGGGTTGGGGTCATGGATTGCAAGCTGGTACACCTTGACCGTGTGTGAGAGCGAATCGACTGTAGAGAGATTTCGATATATCATTTGTGTTGTCGAGATGGCCATCCCACAGGAGAAAAGTCCGAATAGACATGATCTGAGGATAGACATATCAGCAGGTGGAAGATAGAGGTTTGAAACGAAAATTCCTTACAGTCCGAGCGCAACCAGCCAGTTCGCGTCAACAGAACCACCATGGTTTTCTTTATGCTCATGGATGAAATATGCCAGCGAGATTATGAGGTACAGGCAGTAGAATGCGCCATACACGACGACTTGAAAGAAAAATTTGTAGGAAGACTCCGCCACGATGCCACCAACCCTGACCATGATAGTAATATCAGCATGACGGTCTTATTCATATTAAGTAGTAGACCCTAGGGAATTTACCAAGGGCAGAAATGGTCCATTTTGTACACGCATCGGTCGATTTCACTACAATGATGAGACCTGTCTGGTTTATAGCAGTTGCAGTGATAGCACCACTTGGGTCTGCCATTTGGTTCACAAACATACACATCCTTTCCATAAAAGTCCATACAGTTTTCTGGTTCCGGGAGTTCAGCGCGGGACTCAGCATCGAAGGCATCGTATGAATGCCCGTGAAGGGTACTGGAGGACGTCGTAGGTCTATCATTAGCTTGAGCTTGAGATTGGTGGATTACTGGTGGAGTGAGCGTGTATGAATTTGCAATTGGCGTCTCAGAAACTTCCCGACCTGGTTGTGCGACCGGCGGTGGAGGGGTTATATTCAGTTCTGGGATTGTGTTTTCTGTCACTGCTCCATCTGGATCATTTGTAAACACGCAGTCCTTGTGCACGATGTCTTTGGACAATAGGGGGTACCGATGGCGGCACGAGGGCGTGATGTACCTCTGTTTCCAAAGCTTCCTTGCTCTATCCGCGCACTACCAAGTCCCATCTCCGCGTCGCTATCACTAACGCCAAACTTCTCGTTTTTGATAGCCTCATCGGGGTCTTGGCCTTTCTCCACAAACCCTGGAGCCATACATATGGTCCATAAGACCCTCAGGTACGCAGCGACGAAAGGGAGAAAGAAGAAAAAGTAAAGAGCAATCGTAACGGCACCAGCAGCTGTTCGATGCTCAGAGAGTATTAGATATTTAACTATAGTTTCAGGTTAGTAAACGATCTCAAGGCTTATCTAGGCAAAGCTCCATTCTATACGCGGAATACTTGACGAAGGGGGAACACACTGCACACTAAAACAACCAGAACCCACGTTGCATAACCAGCAAGACCCGCCATTACAAAAGGCATGAAAGCCGCAACCCAGCGATTCATTGCATGTTTCCCGTTTCCCCTCTTCACTCTTCCCGTTACCTCTGTTGCCATCTCCAACTTGAAACACTGGCAGAGAGCTGAGAGAGAGCCAGGTTGGGAGCTAACCGCTCAAGGATCTGTCTCTCACTTTGCTTGACTAGAGCGTTCTCTAAGATCGTCGGTATATATCGAAACTAACTGAAGGGATCTATCTGGTGAGCTGGGTGGAATTATTGCGGCGTCGTTGATAGCAAGGTGTGGTTGTGGTTTAGGGAACCTGCGTAGTTCACGATGGGCGCGGCTACACACATACACGGCTTAGTCAGGGGACAAGCATCAATTCTGAGTTGGTAGTGGCTTGTGACCAAGACATCAATAGCCAAGCTCTGGGTCAGCCTGACGACAGGTGTCTCAAATTGAGTTTCGATTCTCCGCCGAGACGAGAAGAAAGGTTGAGAGTTGTACTAGGGGGGGGCAGGTATCACTAATAGTAGTAGAGGTACTATCTTCAAGGCATTATCATTTCCTCTAAAAGCCACAGCAGGGTGCTTCCTGGCCAAGCCACGATTATCAACCAGGATGGACGGACCGAGAACCGTTGTTTTCAAGAACATTCCTAAGGCAGAAGGTATGAAACCACAAGGATTTCTTGATATTCAAGCTGTTACGAGACTGTGTCACGCATAATTACACTGCTCCATGACTGAATCAGCCCCGAACAGTTATGTACCTGTATGCATACACTACATGTAACAACATCTAACCCCGTTCTGCAAACAGCCATGCTAAAGCTTATTTCCAGGTGTGCAGTAGCATCATAACCGGCATTCGGCGAAAGAAAAAAAAAAAAAAAAATTAATGATAAAAGAACTGGCCCCACTAGCTCTTGACAGCTCAGCCACATCCTATCGTTTCCCCCGCGCTCTTATCACGACATTTTCTGCATAAGAAATTTAAACATTTGTGCAATATTACGTACCAACAACCCATTTCTTTGGAGCGGTCCATTGTGGCCTTCAGGGAACTTTATAATCTTGAAAATACCCAGTAGATGACAATGTCTACAGAATATGAAGGAAAAGCATTGCAGTCTTCAAAGGAGAGAGGTACCAGATTTGGTATACCCATACTGGGATTATTCAAGTGTTAACTTAATTTAACACGGCGGACACGAACACGATGTTGAAAAGACAGGCCTGAACAGCTGGAAGCAGAGCCAGCAGGAATTAGCGTATTGCCTGTATCGGTCATGCCACTCTTGGTTAGCAATATACCTGCTGCCGCCTGCATAACAAAGGAAATTGTATCCCCCGCAAGAAGTATCATTACCTATTAAGGATTGATAGGTCTCTTTGGACTTTGGCAAGAACCATAAATCAAGTAAATCGTGGCAGCGTGGAGAGAAGGCCGAAGGACGGTTAAAACGCTTTGGAACCCAGAGGACCTAAACTACCAATGGATATAGTTCGGAAACATACCTATTGTCATCACTGGTAAATAGGATCACAGCTGTTGATTGTCCGACCTTTGAAATCTGCCTTGCAGCAGTCCAGGGAACTACTAATGGGGCGAATACGAACGCGAATAATGCCAGATACGATATCCACATGACTAAAACACATGGCAGCAGTACGCACCGATACAAAAATCCAAGGCAAATACCATTGCTGCGGTTCTGCTTGGGCTGCCGCCCCAGCGACTTATTGACCCTTGTGCTGCCTCGCTGGCTCCAATTTGACCAGCCATTTTACTGAAGTTGACTCTAATCTCGAAGCTCATCCGAAAGGAAGAAAGAGGGGGGGGGGGGTGGGGGTGGGGGTGGGATAATCAAAAGCGATGCATCCGCGTTGCTGAAAACGGAGATAGCAATAAAATCAGTTTCTCTTGCAATCACCAGAGCTACCTATGTAAGGCTCCATTAGGAAACTTTGCCTATTATCATCTTTATACGAACTTTGGCTTGCCAGAAAAGCCCACACCTTTTGCGATAATATATACCAGTGACATACCAATACTGATATATCTAAAATATTATGTGACCCGGAGATTTCCGCTTGCAATGACACAGACTGTGTAATATTCCGGAATGCTCATTCGTACCCGTACAAAGAAACTGTTCTTCGATTCGATGCACGAAGTACACAAAGAAGCATCATAAAAACAAAGAAACCACAAAACAGCCTGAACAGTTCGGGGCTCCAGAAGGACCCAAGCGGGGAATTAGCATTACCATTATCGGAAGAAACTGGGCAACAGCCTTGTGAGATGCACGTGCTCATAAGTACTTAGTGCTCGTACTGGTGATGAAGACAGCACTCTACTTATTTCATTGGGTACATCTGCATCGAGAGGGGCAGTAAGCGCAGCTTTGTCGTACATGAGTAGAGTCACATCAGGAGGCTTGGTTGTACAAGCAACGGCCGGCGCGGTAACCAACATCCCTAACATTCCAACAATTCGGGTTAGACCAAAATGGCGGAACTAACAAACTGGCGGAGGGGAGGCTTTTTGTATTCTTATTCGGTGCGATGGCTCGCTTCTCCTCGTGTGTACGGTATGATATCCAGCCGCACTTGGGGATAAAGGAACCATATAGGAAGCTTATCTTATTGAGGCCCTTAGTACCAAGCATCTGCTTCTTCATCTTCTGATCCTCTCCTCTACGCAAACATCATTGTTACCTCAAAACGATTTCTATTCCCTGTTTCTCATAATCAATTACCAATTACTCAATTATTTATCCAGCCCCGGCCGTAATATTAGCATAAACGCCACCCCCCACCAGTGGTCCTTCAGATATATATTCCCCGACGGAATCTTCAAGCTCAAAATTCTGCCCCCCTTCAAAGAAGATTTCTCCGAACAACTCAAGCGAACATGTCCTCAAATCGGCCTGACAGCAACTCCCAACAGATCCGTGCAGAATACCTCCTCGCCAATCCGGCTCCAGGAACATTTTTTAAACGTCACCTCCCCAACAGGCGTTTGCTGCTACAGCTCCAAAAGACGACTGTGGCAACTGATGGTACCCGAGGAAGACTAGTACCTGCATACGATGTCCGTTGCGGGGGGTCCTTCGTACGACGTCTAGCAGGGTGCTTCAGAAATGTCACCGCAAAAGACATCCTCATTGTCGCAACAGTGGACGGGGAAGAGGAAGATCTAGTTCAAAAGTCTGAGATCTTGGCCAGCATCAGAAGGGTCCCTGCCAAGAACCCAGAGGAACCTGAGAAGCTTCTTGTGAAGTTCTTTGATGAAGCGACTTGGAATTGTGAGAGATTGCCATCAGGAACATTTCAGTTCACACCTGCGAGTGGAGAGGATCCGAATATCCAAGCTTCGTGGGAGCCAGAGCCAGGGGCCTCGAAGGGCTATACTTTCAGTGTCACGACGGTATCTCCAGCAGCGACCCCACGATCACCAACGCCGAAATCGCCGAAATCGCCTGCCAAACCAAGGAATGTGTTGGCCCGTATGGATGCAGAGAATATACAAGTGTTTGGTGTTCGCCCGGCACCGAAGGGTTCTTTCTTAGGTAAGAAATTCAAATTCAGCCCTTCAGCCCTTCAGCCCCCAGGCTTGTCAAGCGAACGCGCGCCTAAGTGGTTGTTTCTTATTTAGGTAAAATAGACGAGAGGAATCTAGAAAGGATGGTGTTGGTGTCGGGAATGTGCATTCGGGCTTTACAGGGTTCGTTATAGACGAACGGTATCGATCACGGGATTGCCAGCTAATTATTAGATTCTTGTCAACGACCATGACATGTCTCATGCACCAACCATTCTCTGTTGGGTTTCTTTTGTCATTATTTGTTTTTTTATGGAGTTTGAGGATTGGATTGGGGTTTAGCGAGAGAAAAGTCTGGAGTCACCACGCTCATATCAATTTTTGCTATGTAAATGAAATTTTTGGTTAAGAAATCACTGTATATATAGATGGATAGATACTCTTAGGTATTGAGCACCGTTGTCACTTGTCTTATGACGCCAAGCTTAGGGTAATGCACATGTGGATGCCACGTGATATCGAAATCTATCAAGCCTCATGAACTGCACGTCACAGGAGTCCGGTGGAGAGAACAAAAACGTGCAGGTGAAATAAGCTTAAATATTTAGCGCGTATATGCATACCGGCTGCACGCGTTTGAGTTATGGTAACGCACGGAATTGTTTGTTCCACAGATGACACCACAGTCGTTAAATATGAGTGAGATTCCATGATTGAACGACTTTGGAAAAACATTAGCAGGTACACGCGGCTACACAGCACAAATAGTGAGTTCATGCCGTTACATTTTTCTTCACAATTCGGAATCAAACATGCGCCACAAGGGCTAGTAAAAAAGTACGGTGTCGGGGTTTTGTTTATATTTCGAGAAGCACCAAGATCCTTGATGATCTTGTTCTCATAATAATAAGGGGAGATGTATCTTGTACGGAGTAATACGGAGTTCCGCGAAATTTAGACAAAACTGGTATTCTAACCACAAAACCGCGGAACAGTATGTGCCGTACGCGTATATATATACGAGCCAGAACGAGCGTCTCTGCCAATAAATTCCTTATCCCGAGTCCTTTATCAATGGTTGTATCCTCACCAATCACTTGCATGAATTTGCTGCGGATTTTAGCCACCACAAAGAAGATTCTGCACTGACAGCTTAATTATAAGGTCTACGCGTACGGATAAGATTCAATATTTCTCCTTTTGTACGGAGGAGGGGGCGGGGGATCGCATACGAGTCCTTTTAGAGTTTCTGCAAAGTCTCAAGATCCTTGTCGACGTTGTTGCTCTTCCGATCCTCTCGAGTTCTAGGTGTTCTATTATAAGACTAAGATTTGGAACTCTATTTTATCCGGGAATCTTCAGGTATATTGTCTGGTGTAACATACATCTGTGAAAAGAGAGCTGAACTGTAGGGGATTTAATGATTGAGAACCAATATTCGGCGATTAGTTAGTACTAGTACTTTAAAAATCTATATATATATGGATCCCAGGCTTAAGGCGAGAGCCTATTACACTGATACTCCTGGGTTATTTAGAAACGGTATTCCGTATTCTTGATATCGCTTTTTTGTACTCGAACACTATGCGAACGCGAACCCGAATGCGATAGGAACACGACGGCTATGCGAGAGTTGAAATCTTGTCTTGTCAATTGCCACAGCCGATCTAAAAATCCGTATTAGCAGCATGGATATCTGGACCGTTAACTAGAGTAGCAGTATGTACATGTATATATGTATACGCGTGCGAGGGGGTGCTATTAAGGGAAGACTTAAACCCCGGACCTCCGGCTCATGCACTGTCATTTAGTGTATCGGCCACACAGCCTAAGCCAGTAGTTTCACACTCTTACCCACAGCAGTGCAGTGCAGATGTACGTAAACGCAAACGCGAATACGAAAACGAAAACAAAAAAAAAATCTACTAATGATAAACGATTTTTGGTTCAGCTGCGATAATGCTGGCAGTGCTGGCAGTAAATCAGGGACTCATTTAGCCCCGTTTGGTAATTAATGATTAGTTTAGTTAGCTAGTACGGACTTACGTAGAGTGATCTGGGACCGACCCCCTATAGCTGGTACCAGATTACCTCCCGTACTGCTTAATTTGATCTCGGTTAATCTTCTCTATTAGGGCTTTCTTTATTCTGACAGTTGGGAAATTGTATAAATACATATGTGATTATCTTCTAATTCTGCATCGACATAACCTTATAGTTCTGGTACCAAGCTCCTCGACTTTCTTTCAGATAGTATCTAATCCTACTTATAATATCAACATATCACACACCAAATCGGTAGTCAGAAATACATATTCATAGATACCAGGAAACATGAGCGAACACGGTGACTTCGTCTTCTACCACTACACACCCAATCTCTTCGCGGCGGTCCTCTTCACACTTCTTTTCGGAGCCTCGACAGGATACCACGCATTTCAACTCGTCCGTACACGAACATGGTCCTTCATTCCACTTCTTATCGGAGGAATATGTACTTTACTCCCTTCACTCGCCCCTCTATGCTCGACCAGCCATAAACTAACGATCTCCAAGTCCAGATAATGGGTTACATAGGTCGAATTCTCTCGCATTATGACACAGAATCTCTCGGGCCGTACATCATGCAAACACTTCTCCTCCTCGTAGCGCCCGCTCTTTTTGCCGCCTCAATCTACATGATTCTTGGCCGCCTCATTGCCCTCCTTGACGGAGAGAAACACTCCCTTATCAGGCTCAGATGGCTCACAAAGATCTTTGTTGCCGGTGACATTTTCAGTTTCACACTGCAGGCTGGTGGTACGTTTATCCATTGCCATAGAATAATCTCGAGTAGTATTCTAAAGATTCTAACCCAACTCCCTTTTAGGTGGTGGAATGATGGCCCAAGGCGCCGATGGCATGAAAAATGGCGAGAGACTGGTTCTCGTCGGTCTCTTCGTCCAAATCATCTTTTTTGGTTTCTTCTTCCTTGCCAGTGTCGTGTTCCATCGCCGGATCAACCGGAACCCGACCGGCGTCTCGCTATCCCTCGCCAATTCAGCATTTAGCTTCAAGACCAGCTGGATAGGGCTTCTGTATGCTCTGTATGCCTCTTCAGTGGCGATCCTAATCAGGAGCATCTTTAGAACCATTGAGTATATCCAGGGTAACTCGGGATATCTGCTGAAGAATGAGATTTGGTTGTACTTGTTTGACGCAGTACTGATGCTGGCGGTTATGGTCATCTTTAACTGGGTTTATCCGGCTGCTGTTTTGCAAGAGAGAAGGCCAGTGAGGTCTCGTGAGGGCTACGAGTGCGAGGATAACTCAACGGAGATGGCATAGTTCTGGACTTGGTTTTCTTTTGGCGAAAAGACTTCTTTTGTTTAATTATAAATGCGATGTATGGTGAGGTTACTCATCTAGATTTCCTTTGAAACCTCTTTTTAATTTCCTACCTAAAAATTATGCCTATTAGCTAGTAGTAATTAGATAACGGTCACCATAGCCTTTACAAGTCACTTGGGAACGATTTCTGTTAATTTCATCATGATTTATCACTCGTCATCGGCCGCATGTATTATTGGATGATTGATTGATTGATTGCTTGCATGGATTATTGAAGATATAAGAGGCTTGTTTTTGCTTCAATGTGCATACGTAAAACACCGCGAACCAATACCATTTATCTCTAAAATATCTTTAATATTCTCTCGTACTGGATATATAAAGACAATGTTGACGTCTTATGACGTTTTATCCAGGCCCGGGTACGTAGGAACACACTAGCTAGAAACATGATTAAAATATGGTAAAGTACCACGTTTCAACACCGGCCGATCGCGATCAAAGCTTTGTGCTTATTTCGCATGCGAATTTACTTGCACATTCACTCTCGAACTCTTTTATACGGACTTATATAGGGTGATACAACAGAAGGCTGTCAATTAAATAAGAAGAAAAATTGTAGGCCAGTGCACTTATACCCTGACAAATAAAAATAGCCCTCCCTTTGATTCCGGAGGATTAGATTTCCGACTCCGATTCGGGCCGTCATATCATCCTAGTAGTAGTGTCAAGTATTTGTTAAGCTAACTAATCAGAAGTTGCAAGCATAGCATGGGGGGCTTTTGCTTTTCTTTTGATGAGCAGTACCTTTAGGTATATATATCAGACCTGCTATGTAGATAGAGCACGGGTTACGGGTTACAAAAGACGTTGCTGCGATACCTCATCAGGGTATCCACTAGAGCTAAATTATAAAGGACCGCGTGCTGGGGCACTCTATCTATACCTTTGCTCTCAAATAGGATATGATCAAAGGGTATTCGTGAGTTATAATTATAGGGCAGACTGTAGTGAGAAAAATATTGCGCATGCACTTCTCTCACATTCATAGAAGCTTATTTTGGTGTATTCTTCATAGGTTCTCACTCGGTACTACATGACTTCGAGGCCACCAGGTCTTTTAGATGGGAATAGAACTCAGCGACTTAGGAATCCGAATCTTTTATCTAGTTCAGTTTTTAAATTGGTGATACAAGAAATACGACGACAATGTAACGGTCATCTAAGTACTAGCAATAATAGACTAGCTCCCCTCGACGATCAGCGCACCTACTCCAATGGGTATTGGAGGAACGTATTAGCCCTGGGTGTACCTCTGCGACTCATTGAGGCGGTGGGGCGCGCTTGCCGATGGGAATTGGCATAGCTCAAGCTCTGACATAACTATCGTGCCAAAAGATAAACCCACAAGATATATCTGGAATGTTTTTTGTATTCTCGTCACTCTAAATTGAACTATACAAGGAACTACCTTAATGATCCTCCCCGCACGGCACCCCGAGTTAATTAGGGGAACAAGGCCAGAATGTAAAATGAATACAAGAATGTAAAGTTACAAGAAATAAGAATGAAAGTGAGTTTATAAACTTTCACAACCATTAAGATAATGCCCGGAACCCTATTTATGTGAAACCCAGTATCCATGGTGCTAAAATGAGCTCAAAAAAATGCTTTCCGAAATCGAAGAATGACTCAATATACCGGCGGGAGAATGAAGTGGTAAAATACCACTGTTCGCCTCATTGAAATTTACAGTCTCACGTATAAGAGAAAGAAGAAGAGCCCCGCTGCTGGTGATGTTGATGCTGGGATGTTTGAGGAGGCTGAGATGGGGGCAATTTCAATACCCTCGTATCGTCACCAAGAAACTGTCTACGGTAAGACGCGATACCAGTCACGACAGTCTCAAAATCTTTGATCCCCTGCTCACGCATAGACGCAATCGTCTGCCTGAGACCACGGTTGTAGTTGTTGCGCTCCTCCTCAGTAGAGCCTTCAACAACAGATGCAAGTTCGACAAGAATTTCATCATCTAATATCCGGCAGTTATTAGCCACACTTTGAGGATATCATAGAACCCAGTGAGAGAGAATGGGGAAGGATATACCTGGCATCTCAATCTGCCTTTTATGTTGCCCCAAGCAGCTGGTGTCACTGCAGATGCCACCGCTAAGTTCCCACCTGCAAAGCGGTTTTGTAGGGTCGATGCGGTTCGAAAACGTTAAGCTCCTGTAACCACCTGGGCAAAAGGCGAGGAAGTTCGGGTGGTACCGAAAAGATTTGAAGCTAGTCAGTGGTGACTTGTAAGGTGTGAAGACGTGTTCAGGTTGTCTTTGGATCTTCTGATCTCCCTGTTTCTTGGTAACGCTCACGGCAGCGGTTGTAGAAGTGATCTATTGAAATCCAAAGGAAATAGCCAATCACGAGCAAAGTGAGAGCAAGGAACTATTGTCAGCCAACACCGGATCTTATTAAAAGTAAAGCGAGCTGTAAAAATAGAAGGGTGTATAGGTAAAGTGGTCTTGTTGCAAACCTTGGCGGGGTCCACGAGCTCCTTGGCCTGTTTTCTTTGCTCGGGCACTGAGATTTGTAGATTAGCTTCCTCCAGATCTACGGCACTGCTATTTGCCGGTTTTTCTTGAATGTCGTCCAACATCTGATAAGTGGTTGGCATGGCAGGTCTCGGTTTTTGCTCTTCTAGAACTGCTGGCTCTACTTGCGGTTGATCCTCGTCACTGTCATCTTCTTCCTCGTCTGAGGTTTCGTCCGCTTCACTGCTTGATTCTGTATTCATCTCTTTACCCTTTTCCTGATCCTCATCTTCATCGCTGCTAGCGTCCATGTCAACATCATCGACGTTCGTGTCATTTTTGTTTACCTTTTCGGTCTCAAACATCTTTTGGTCGACATCCATCGCATCATCTGAGGTGTTTGTCGATACAGGTGATGATACAACCGAGGAACGACTGATAACGACTTCGGTTCTATCCATTCCTGGCGCTTGAACCTGCTCATGACTTACCGTCCCGTCCCCTTTAATCCCGAGGTCCATATCATCCCCCATCACAACATCATCCGTTACATCCGTTACCTTTTGTTGGCGATCCGCCAAGACGCCTGTTTGTGACAGTTGTTCATGTGGGGATGATTTCTGGTCGTCTTTCAAGGTCGCGTGGTCAACTGTGATAATACAAACTCAATACATAAGCGGTTGCTCGATATGAGGGTGTTTAAGGTTAGGATCAAGAGGATTTAAGAAGCTGCGTTAACCCGATAAGAGCCACCAGTAGTGGATGGTGTGGTAAAAGATTATGCGGAGAGTCTTACCTTCGATTTCCTCCATAGCCTTCTTCAATTGCTCAATTTCCTCTTTCTTCTTAGAAATGGCGTTTGTTGCAATTTCATCGCACTCTCCTTTAGCATCTGCCTTCTTATCTGCCGCTTTCTCCATGGCTGCTAACTCTGCTCTTAAGGCCTCCTTCTTCGCTTCCATCTCCTCCTCTTCACGTCGCATTCTTGCTAATTCCTGTAAAACCCTCTCTTTTGCCAACATCTTCTTCAGCCTTTCGTTCTCGGTTTCTTTCAGCTGCTTTTCCTTCTCCTCCCTCGCGCGTTGCCTAATTTTCGCAGCTTCAATTTCTTCAGCCTCTTTCCTCTTTTTTTTGGCCTCAGCTTTCTCAATCTCCTCGATTTCTGTTAAGAGGGCATCAATTTTTTTCTTTTGTTCCCTTTTCTGCAATTCCTTGAGCCTGGTAGCTTCCGCCTTTGCCCTGGCGTGTGCCTCCTTGACTTGAATGAGCATCTTTTGCCTTTCAACTTCCACTTTGCGTTTGATTTCGTCTTGTTTCTTAACATTATCAAGAGCCGACGAGACCGCCATGGCTACATCGGTTACCTGCTGTTGCTGCACTTGCGTAAGAGGGGATGGGTCACTTGGTTCCGCTCCAGTGTTTGGAGTTTCAATTGATGTTGGTGTCGATAACCCGGTTTTTGCAATAAGCTTTTTCTTCTCCTGCGCCTTTTGAATGGCTTCTTTCAGAGCTCTGATCTGCTCCTCTTTAGCTTGAAGCGCTTTTGCCGAGTCAAGCTTCGAAGTGCCATTGCTAGAAAAGCCCCCAACAGGGGTTGTTTGACTGGGGCGGAGACGTGGCGGGGTAATATTCCCACTCCTTTTATCTGTGCCGCAAGGCGTTGAGCGAGAGGTGCCTGAACCATTTAATGAGCCCTCCTCCTCCTCTTCCTCTTCGTCATCAGATATGTCAATGATTAGCTCTACGTTTCTATGGTCACCAAACTTTCGTTTAGTTGTCGGCATAGGCTCCGAATACATATCAGATGCAACCGGTCTCTTCCTACGGTGAATGTAGGGCCGCTCTGGGGAAGGTGCTTTGGTTGGAGTAGATATATTAGATACCGCAGCAATTGCGGTTGATTGTCTGGAGGTGGACACTGGTTCAAGTGGATCTTTCATGATGATATCGCCCTGTGGAGGCACAACTCCTGGAGTAGGGCGAGACTCCGAATAAGAACCATCTAGCTGTGTGAGCAATAAGCCAGGAATTCTAGGCACTTCCGGCTTGGGTGGAGACAAAGGTGGTGCTCTGGCAATGGCCGCTACCACAGGAGTAGACGATATAGGTGTGAGTGGAAGACCAGGGGAAGCAGATTTACCAGGAAGACCCATCTCGTTAATCTTCCTTCGAACCACTTCCTTTTTGGCTTCAACTTCTGCAAGTCTTCTTTTTCTTTCTTCCTCTTCTTTTGCTGCTTCACGCTGACGAACTAGCTCTGCAGCTTTAGCCTCGGCTTCTTTTCGTTCCCTATCCCGTGCGTCTTTCTCGAGTTGTTTGCGGATTGCTTGCGCATCCTTATCAATCTCCATTCTATCGGATGATTTATCTCTTGATTTGACTTTAGAACCCGCTACTTGTGGATGATCAATATCACCACTTGGGGGTGGTGAAGGTGTTTCTGGTGGGATCGGAAGTCCGATAGAAGTATATACCATCTTTAAAACATTTGGATCAATCTCGTAATTGTCGACCATATACCCCCAGGTAACTCTAAGGGGAAGCATATTCAATACGGCCCGCTGAGCTTCACTGCGCAGTTCCGTCAAAGTCCTTGTCGGTTCCAATGGGGAATGGGGAGTAGAAGGATGCGTGGGGCTACCACCTACAAGCATTCCTTTCGAGGCCACATGAAACGAAGCTGAGAAATTGTTAGGCCCAGATGGAGATGATGACATCGCCCCTGATCCTGAAGCTCGAAAATTTCCTAACCAAAGAAAAATGTCAGTATAAACCAAAGTTTCAATTCAATGGCTGTAAAGCGACTCTTTCTCTCCAAACTTCTTAAACCTTAAGGAAGCGAGAGAACGAGCCACAAAATAAATGCATCAAACCTGTTCTATCTCCCGTACCTTTTGGTTGACTATGCGGATTGAATCTTTTATCGCGTTGATCACCTTCTAGAGCTTTAGATGATGTAGTAAAGGAATTGTCAAAGGATCTTTTTTGACTTGCGGGCCAACCTTGTGATGTATGTGACGCAGCTTCCCTGCGATAAGGTTCGTTCCTGGAGTTTATACAGAACAAGTTAGCGAGACTTCCCTGGAAAACCCCCGCCGGCCCTAGGTTCTTACCACGTCTGCGAACGGGATATTGGTAAATTATTTGAGGTTTCACTGTTGATTCTCATACCTATATTTTCTTTTAGCATTTGGTTTTTTTATTTTCGTCGTGATTTGTACGGATGTACCGTGCGAAACAAAATTCTTGCCTTGCTGATTTTCAACACCTCGATCTCGTTGACTGCTTTCAGAACGATTATTGCGCTTTTTAGAATGTTGCCCCTCAATATCTTCCGCATCCGAAAGTTCCCCTTCCTCTCTATCTTCAAGTAAGCTGTCGTCGCTCCGGTTATTTTGTTTACTCAGTCCCGATGGGGGCGCGTGCATTATCTTTTGAGTAGAGTTGGAAGCGGTGGATGGGATATTAGAGGGTAGCTGTCGAGACGCGCTGTTAATATTGGTAAACTTAGGCATATACATTGGCGATTGAAGCGCCGGTGAAGGCAATGCAGTATTATTACTGCCAGCACTGTTGATGCTCAATTTCCGCAGGTCCTGATTTAGGCTAGGTGGACCCCTCGGAGCAGGAAGTGGAAAGCCACCAAATGCTGGAGTCGGGGGGTAGTTCGTCATCGCAGACGAGATGCGAAAACAAAGCTATTGATGATATTCAGAAATGTTAAAGAAGGTGTGATGCCTGGAAGCGAATGTGACGACAAGAGGGAGAACAGTGAGGGAAGGAAGTGGTTGATGACTAGGATAGCGGCGAGAGATGTGGCCCGTGTTGTTTCAGTCACTAGGGCAAGGGAACACAGGTAGAACCCAGAACTAGCAGAAAGAGATGGACAATCCAAATGTATGCTGCGTCTGACAGTGATATAAGTGAATACCATGCGGGGATTTGTGACCCGATTTTATATCTGCTTTAAAATTACTTCCTGATAGGTTATTGGTGTTATTGGCGAAATAGTCGGTTTTTTCTCCCTGCCTTTTAACAGCTGAAGTCTTCTCTTTTCGATCTTTCTCCTTTCATACTTTTAGTTCCTCTTCCCCTGCCTCCTTCCACCTTTTGCACACAATCTCTGTTGATCGGATGAATGATAGTTTGACGTTGAAGAGAGGAAAGACTGGTCGCAGTAGAGTTGCTTTCGAAGCTGATTATATAAGTTCTGCTCTAAGGTAAAGACTAATTAAAGCCCGAAGCGGGGAAGCGTTGTGTAACGGCAGTACCGTAGACAGTTACCGCTTAACGAGGACTACGCTAGCACTAAATTGGAATATTGTTGTGTTTTGATCGTATGCCAACTGTGAGGCTCTGATTGCTCCTGCAGGGGACATGACTTCCTAAAGACGCTTCCTTAGTTCAGTGCGCTGCCCCTCCGCCATCCTTACCTGTCTCTGTGGACACGGTCACCTTGTAGTTACCTGTACTGCTAACTATAACTCTCTCAATCAATCTTCTCATCTTTCTTGCCTATCCCCAACTATATTCCTCGCGAATTGTTTCAGCTCACTCGTCCCGGGCCATCATGTCCGGCTTCAATCCAACGGGGTATTCATCACCCTCAGGATCTTCAAATAATGTACCTCGATTATCATGGCAACAGCGTCGCCCTGCTTCAGGAGTACACAAGAAGACTTCCTCATCACCGTCCAATACGATATTTCCTCCACCTCCTCCTCCGCCAGATGTTGTTACCTCGCCAACGCCAGGCATTAGAGGTCACCGGCAGTCAGTATCTGCTCTGACAGCGGCATTGACTTCCACGCCGACATCTGCGCCTACTTCCGTACCCGCACCTTCTCGACCTAGCTCCGCACTTGTTGTAAACAGTTGGCAGAGTAGAAGTAACAGCTCAGTTTCGAAAGCTTCACCAGGAACATTTGCTCCAGGCTTTATCAAGTCTGCGGATGATAGGCGAAACAGCACTTCGAGCTTAGCGGGAGGAATAGCGGGAGAGAATAGTGACTTCTCTGGAAGACGATGGGTATGGGTTAGGGATCCTGAGAGGGCATTTGTGAAGGGAGAAGTTGTTCTTGATGAAGATGGAATGCTTACTGTGCGATGTGATGACGGAACGGTGTGTACTCCCTTGCGCTAGGGCGGATGGAGACCTTACAAGTTGAACTATGACTCGTATCTAGTCTCAAGCCTAAATTACGTCTTAGCAGTTACTAATTTTAAGTCTAATAGGAACGAAATGTTCACTCTGATAATGTCGATAAAGTGAATCCGGCTAAGTTTGATAAAGCTGATGACATGGCCGAGCTCACACATCTTAACGAAGCTTCTGTAGTTCACAATCTTCACTTGCGTTACCAAGCGGATCTAATCTATGTAAGCCCTTAGTATGTCTGTGCATGAAATATTGCTAATGGACGATCATTATTTCTGTAGACCTATTCAGGCTTGTTTTTGGTAACGGTAAACCCTTACTGCGCATTACCAATATACAACAATGACTACATTTCCCTATACAAAAATCGCTCAAGAGAGGAAACAAAACCTCACATTTTTGCAATTACCGACGTCGCCTTCCGGAATATGCTGGAAGAGAAGGAGAATCAGAGTATTTTAGTCACGTACGTACTTTCGCTTCGCGGATCCCAGGTCAAACATACTGCTAACTTTTCATATAGTGGTGAATCCGGAGCTGGTAAAACTGAGAATACAAAGAAGGTTATTCAATATCTTGCTGCTGTTGCCAGCGAAAGCTCTTCGTCGAAGCAACTCGGTACTCTAGAGCTTCAAATTTTACGGGCAAATCCTATCCTTGAGGCTTTTGGCAACGCCCAAACTGTTCGCAATAATAATTCATCTCGTTTCGGAAAATTTATACGTATCGAATTCACCCGTTCTGGTCAGATAGCCGGCGCTTTCATCGATTGGTACCTCTTAGAGAAAAGTCGAGTCGTCAACCAGGGTGGGGATGAAAGAAATTATCATGTCTTTTATCAGCTATTGAGGGGAGCCAGCAGCCAGATGAAAGAAATGTATCTCCTCGACGACGAGAATGTCAAAGCGTGGAACTATATCAAAAACAGTAATGATACTATCGCAGGCGTGAACGATCTTGAAGAGTTCCGGTCTTTAATGGAGGCGTTCCATGTTATGGGCTTTGGTACTGAGGAGCAAGTATCTATTCTGCGTGTCATCGCCGCCGTTTTACACATCGGCAACATTGAAGTCGTTCCGGAACGCAGAGGCGGTGAAGATGCACGACTACCGGACCGTGGTCAAGCTGAAAGGGTGTCTCATGTTTTGGGTATACCAGTAGATGGGTTTGTAAAAGGATTACTTAGGCCCCGCGTTAAAGCTGGTAGAGAATGGGTCAATCAGTCAAGAACGGCGGAACAAGTAAAACAGAGTCTGGATGCCTTAGCAAAAGCCTTATACGAAAGAGGGTTTGGGAAGTTGGTCGAAATGGTCAATAGTAAACTTGATACTCGCGGCGAAGGAGACGGGTTTATTGGTGTCTTGGATATTGCTGGGTTCGAGATTTTTGAGGTAATCGAGGTACTGTTCTTGAACAGAGCGTTAACACTGATGATCATCTTTTGCATATAGGTTAACAGTTTTGAGCAACTTTGCATCAATTATACAAACGAAAAATTGCAGCAGTTTTTCAATCACCACATGTTTGTGCTAGAGCAGGAAGAGTATGAAAGGGAAAAAATTGAATGGAAATTTATCGATTTCGGGCACGACCTTCAACCGACTATCGACCTCATCGAATTACCTAATGTAGGTTTCTCCCCAAGTTGTATTTCACATACAAGTACTGATATTGAGCCTTTAGCCTATTGGTATTTTCTCGTGTCTCGACGAAGATTGTGTCATGCCAAAAGCAAGTGACAAATCGTTTACCGAAAAGCTTCATTTTCTCTGGGATAAAAAGACACCAAAATACAAACGTTCTCTTCTCAAGCAAGGATTCATGCTTACCCACTATGCTGCCGAGGTAGAGTACTCGACAGAAGGCTGGTTAGATAAAAACAAAGATCCTTTGAACGACAACATTACAAAGCTTCTTGCTGCTTCTCACGACAAATATATAGCCTCATTGTTTGCCGACTACGCCGAAGATGCAAACGAGAATGGAACTGTTGCTAAGAGCAGGGTGAAGAAAGGACTTTTCAGAACGGTAGCGCAAAGACACAAGGAGCAATTAACAAGTCTTATGGCTCAGCTTAACTCCACACATCCCCACTTCGTCAGATGTATCATCCCTAATCACCAAAAGCGTCCCAAAAAACTAAACGCACCGTTGGTACTAGATCAGCTTCGATGTAATGGTGTGTTGGAAGGTATTCGAATTGCGAGGACTGGATTCCCGAACAGGTTACCATTTGCCGAATTCAGGCAACGGTACGAAGTTCTCACCCCCAAAATACCAAAAGGCTACCTTGAAGGTCAAAGGGCGTGTCAACTTATGCTCCAGCAGCTAGACCTTGATACCCAACTTTACCGCGTGGGTTTAACAAAGGTCTTCTTCCGAGCCGGGGTCTTGGCCGAGCTTGAAGAAAAGCGCGACACCTTAGTTAGAGAGATTATCACACGTTTTCAGAGTATAGCAAGGGGCTATCTTCAACGCAGGATCGCGAGGAAACGGCTTTACCGTGCCGAGGCTACAATGATAATCCAAAGGAATCTCCAAGTATATTTAGATCTTTGTGAGAGTCCTTGGTGGAAGCTCTTTATGAAGATGAAACCGCTTTTGGGCGCATCTCATTCTTCAAATGAGGTTAAGAAAAGAGACGAAATGATACAGAAAATGGAGGCCCTGATGCAAGCGGAGGCAGAGAATCGGCAGAAACTTGAAGAAGAGAGGAGGAAAACTGATACAGAGCTTCAACGTGTCCAAAAAACTCTGGAAAGCGAAAGAGCCCTCGCACTTGATAAGGAAGAAATTTTTGAGAGGATGAGGCAAAGGGAAGCTGAATTGAGTGAAAAGCTTGCGGGTGCTCTTGAGGACCAGGACTTATTAGAGGACCAGATAGATGAGTTAATGAGCGCGAAGAAGAAGACAGACGAGCAAGCAGAGCTCTGGAGAAAAGAGTTGGAGCAAGCTGGTGATTTGGTTGCTCGCCTGGAGGATGAAAAGAGAGAATTGGCTGCAAAAATCGAGTTTTTGGATCGCGAGCTCGAGGCAGCGGAGGCAGCAAGAGCTGAGAGGGGAGATGCCGAAGATAAGCTCGAACAAGAAATTCATGTATTGAAGAGTCATCTCAACTTGAAGGAACGCAAGCTACAGGAGTATGAAGAAGCTCTCAAGAAGTCGGATCACGATCTAGATGAAAAGCTTGCCCAGACGGTATGTCCCAGTCCATGCATTAGTAAATTATATCACAACTAACTCCCAAGCAGAACTTTAGTCTTGAAACTAGTCAAAAGCAGATACGGGAACTTGTTGACGAGAACAGGACACTTCGAGACCAGCTGAGTGACTTATCAACTACTTCGAACGGATACGAGGATCTTATTCGTCGAAAGGAAAGCGAACTATCCCTACTGCATGCGGATCTCAAGAAACTAGAACTTGAGCGTACTGCTTTTGATGATGAAAAGCGCCATCTCAACTCGAAGCACGACGATATTCTAGCACGTCTCCGCAGTGCCCATTCGGAAGTTGAGACACTGAAGCATCAATGTGCAAGACTCGAGAAAGAGGCAGCAGACGCCAGAAGACTGCTTGATGCAAAAATCACCGAAGATGCTAAGACGGGACAGGGCCGTAGGCTTCTCGACGAGCAGATCAAAGAATTACAAGAGGAATTGGCGGCAATCCAAGCCGAGCTAGATAAGGAGAGGCAATCCCGAGCTGATATTGCCCTACTAAGCGAACATAAGTTCGCCAATCTAAAACGGGATCATGACGCTATTACTACAGCGAAATTTACGATTGAGAAAGAGCTTTATGCACAGCAAGATACTCTTCGTCGTGCCCTTGAAGCTCGATCTCAGTCCGAGAAAGAAAAACGAAACTTTCAAGCGGATCTGAAGACTCTTCGCGACAGACTTGCTGAATCTGACAACGCGAGATTACAAGCGGAATCGGAGATTGAGAAAAGTTTGGCAAGGCAAGCCAAAGAGAAGGAGGCCAGGTTAGACAAGGATCTGAAGGCAAAAGAGGAGGCCCTTTCTATTGCAGAATCGGAACGCGCACGATTAGCTTCAGAAGTTGCTAGACTTACCCGAGTTGTCAGTGAGCAAGATGGAGCACGCCAGTCCTACGAGCAGTCGAGAAAGCGGATGGATTCGGAAACCAACGCAGTGAAAAATCGTCTTATGGCATCAGAAAATGATAACCGCGCCTTGCAAAATAAGATACAGCAAAAGAACCTCGAAATTAGCAAGGCAAACGCTAGAGCAAGCGAACAGTATCGCGACAAGATTGTTGCCTTGACTGCTGACAGGACGAAGGCTGACGAAGAGGCGAGAAAATATCGGAAGCAATTCGAAGACGCGCAAATCCAGATGCGTGCTCTCGAAAAGCAGAAAGAGAAGCTATCTCTGAATTTGGAAGATTTGAATCATGAAGTTGCACGCGAACACAAAACGACCCGGAATGCTGAGAAGACAACATCTAGCCTACAGTTGCAGCTTGCAGAGGCAAATAGAACCCTGGAGATGGAGAGACAAGTCAAGGCCCAGGCACAAGTAAATACCAAGCACATCCAAAGTGCCCTCGCGACTGCCAACTCCGAGCTCGAGGATTGCCGCCAACAACTACTTGTGCTCCAGAAGGTTTTCGACCCTGAAGGTATACAACCTAAAAACTGGGAATCTGGCAGGAAGAGTATCGTCCAGTCTTTCAACTTGGCCACAAAGCTAGATGAGGCAAACCAGGCCCTAAGGCTTTCAAATGAGAGACGTATACGTGCTGAGAAGGATCTTGAGGAGCTAAGGAAGCGGCACCAAGACGAAGTGGCAGAGATAGATAATATGCATACGTCATCTAAGAGAGCTCTGCTCGACGAGATGGATCAGAATAACGCCCCCGCAAACGGATCTTCTCGGCCGTTTAGCAGAGCACTCAACGCCAAACAGTATTCCAACCAGACGACGCCTACCAGACGGAGCCTCTTTGGACAAGATCAATTCGATTCTGAAAAGACAGACAAGACTATGGATACCATTAGCTTCCAACGAAGGATGGACCTGGCCTCTGAGCTTGAAGAAGTTCAAAACCAGCTGCAGATTGCGGAAATGCAGAACAAACATCTTCAAGCCCAAATTGATCGAGCAAATGCGAAGGAGGGTGAGCTAGAAGCGAGTCCATCGGCTAAGCGAGCATTAAAGCTGGAGCGCGAGAATAACCGCCTGCACGACTTGCTTGATGAATCCGACCAAAAGAATTCTGCGCTTGAGGCTTCAATGAACTCAATCGAACTTAGCCTAAAGGATATCCAAGCTAAGAGCCATGAAGAATTGTATGATTTCATCAGCCAGCAGGAGCAATCCCGACGCAATCTAGTAATGGTATATAACGAGACTGTTTCAGATCTTGGGCGAGCAAAGGATCAGTTTGAAAAGGTCAAGGCCGCCAAGGCTGCAATAGAGACAGATCTCAGAGAGACCCAGACGGAGCTGGATGAAGCACTCGCAATGCAGCAGCAAGATAAGGTTAGTCGAACCCAGCTATTAAATGAATTTGCGGACCTGCAAATTCGCCTGGACGCCGAGTCCTCGAAGGTCGCGGACCTTGGAGCAAGCTTGAATCTTTACAAGCTGCGTAGCAATGAGTACTTCAACAAGCTCGAGCAAGCAGAAATCTTGGTGCTTAGGGCATCAAGAGCTGAGGCGGCTGCAAAAAGTCAAGCAAAGGAAACGGAAGAGAATGCGGCAACGGTGCTGGCCGAAAGGAAGCAGATGGAATCACTGATAGAGGACCTACAAAGACAAAACCAGCACTATGACGAAAAGGTAATTAGTTCCACCAATTTTAGCGCCGTATCCCAAGAATGTGGGTTTCTAAACTACTTTTTTTAGGTTGAGGATCTTTCTGCAGATTTGTCTGCTGCCCTTCAAGCCAAGAAGAGGCTGCAGAACGAGCTCGATGACTACCGCAGTAGGCGTGAAATTGATCTCGAAGACAAGGAGAGCTCGATGGAACAGACAAGAAAGAAATATCAAACCGAACTTTCCACTCTTAATGGCGAATTGGAGATTGAGCGTGAGAATATCCTCCAAGTTAGGGGGGAGAATAGACGTCTTCGTGAAGAGGTTGAAGATCTACGTGCCAAGTGGGATGACGAAGTTCTCAATAGCTCTACATGGGCCAAAGAGAAGTCTCGTCTTGAAATCAAGCTTCAGGATCTTTCGCAATCCCATGATGACGCTGTTGCTGCACACAATGAAGCTCAAGGTCGTGTGGTCTCATTACTCGCCCAGGTCCGGAGCCTCCGCACCAACGTTGATGAAGTGAATTCAGAACGAGAGGCGCTCCAGAAGGAGAAACGTAGTATCGAACAGAGACTGGCTCAAGCTAATCAAAGGCTTGAAGACCTCGCCAATGGAGAGAGTCCATCGATGCGCAACGCAGCCGGTATGGATAGGGAGTTGCTTGATCTCAAAGGAGCTCTGCAGCAGCAAGAAGATGTCGCGGCGGCGGCGGTCGAGAAGATGCGGAGGGCTGAGGCCTTGGCAGTCGAGACACAGCGCGATATCGCAGCGGAGAGGGAAACCAATGTCAGTTTGCACAAGGAGAGGGCATCCTTGGAAAAGCAGGTGAAGGACCTGCAGCTGAAATTAGTAGACCTGGAAACCAAAAGCTATTCGACCACATCTCATGATGTTAGGTTTTTGCACGGGCGTGTTCAAGAGGTACGTTATCCTTTCGATTTTATTTTATTGTAACCTTCTAATTTACGTTTTGGGGCATATCAGCTTGAAAAGTTGCTTGATGAACAAGAGAAAGAACGAAATAAGAGCGAGCGCTCGGTTCGTAACGTTGACCGTACAGTCCGAGACCTCCAAACTCAAATTGAGAGGCGAGACAAGGCCGCCATACAACTCGAGGAGGAGGTCACAAAGGGTAAAGAAAAGCTTGAGCGCCTACTCAAGACAATCGAAGAGTTAGAGGCAGCACATTCAGAGCATCAATTGATTGCTCGCCGGGCAGAACGTGAAGCACGCGAGGAGCGAGAAAAGAGCCTTAGACTTGAGCGGGAGCTCGAGGGCTGGAAAGGGATGAGATTGGATAGGAACGCCAACAGTCGCAGTAATACCATGGCCGCTCTAAGTCAGATGGGCGATGACGACAGCGATAGGAGAGGGTCAAAACGGCATTCAGTTAATTTTTTGTAAATGGGATTCAATTGCTTTTGGTGCATATTGGTAAGGGGAGCGTTGAATTTAACCAGGTAAAGGGTTTTCATGGCATGGAGTGTATGAATGTTTTAATGTTTGTGGGATGATATGGCGGTACAGACGGGGCTGGATATAAACTGACGGCTGCATGGTTTTTTTTTCTTCTTTCATGAATTGCATCTCTTTTCTTATTTTTATTATTACTATCATTTTTTTGTTTTGTCGAATTTTGGTTTTTGACAGACTAATTTTGTTTTTCTTGCCTTAAGCCTGTCGTCGCAAAAAATACCCACTCAGCGAGCGATCTCCTCTCTCTTTTATTCTTATGTATCATCTGCGTTGGTATAATGGGGTATTTTTATTTTTATTCTACTTGTTAGTGGGGGAAGAAGGCAGTTGAATGATGCCCATTTTACGACCATATTACCACTGTCACCATGATCACGAACGATTATGGTCAATATGTTAGTAGTAATGATAGTTGTTACACCTTGTGGTGCTTGCTACTAAACATCCCAAAGCAGAAGATACCTTCTCTACCGAAAGAGAGAAGGGCGGTAAGACTCTGTCTCAGGCCTCAGACTGCTGCATTGCAGGACAGGAGGTTTAGATAAAGATTAGAGTAACGACGCGTGTTTATGCCGCGCGGATAGGGTTTAGAGAGAGTGAAGTCCAATAAAAGAAAGCCACAGCCCTGCGTTTCCTTACTCTAGTTCAAAGCGGAAGACGGTTGTGTCGTGTGTGGAGTGCCGTAAAATACCCTGGACAGGGGTTCGGATCGCTTTCCAGAACGGCACCCCGGTACCCCGGCAGTTCATGCTTCCGCCGAAATCTCCGATTTTCCAGGACGGTTACGTAGGTTGGTTAGCGCGCTGTGATTGGTGGTTGCGTAAGTCTTCTCACAGCTGCGCCCGTTTCAGTCATTAGAAGCTCCCTTTATCGCTGGGATATATTATGCTGTTATCGCCGCCCACCTTTCTTTCTCTTTTCTTGTTTCTCTCATTCTATTCTTCGAGCTGAGCTTGCCTTACAACAAACATAATCCCAAAATTATTTAACCACGTCTTTTACTGTTATCGACTTTAAGAATCAAACATGCGTGTTTCTACCATCCCCCTTGCTGCGCTCATAGGTCTTCCAGCGTTGAGCGCTGCATTCCTTCTTCCCCCGCCACTCGATCTCGAGCTCTCCCCACTCTTCAACCCAAATGAGGCTGAGGTTGCCGTCTTGAGCGATACCCCCAAGAGTGCCATCGTCAAAGGAACCCATATAGCTGTCGCTTTGCCATGTATCGGATGCACATGGCATAAAGATGTATCAGACGAGGAAGGTGTTCCATTCATCAAGGGCCTTGAAAGCGAGCTTGTAAGACCACCTAAGTCTCACATAATCCTAGCTCGATTACTGATTTTCATGATTAGTTATTTGACATCTCAATTCCTGCCGACAGCCCAAATTCTCTCGTAATCAACAACAAGCGTATAGTCCCTTTCACCCCACTATTCGGGCTTTCGGCCCTTCAGGTGCCCGCATCTGCCTCTGCCGAAGATGTATTCACCATTTCGCATCCCTTCCGTCCTCTCAAGCTCGGCTATGACCTGCTCGTTACCGGAACTATAAATCCAGAGGTGCCCGACAAGAAAGATGTCCGAGTCAAGCTCCGTATCACCGCTGTCGACGGTGTCCACAACGACTATATCCCTGATATGGAAGTTCTGGTATCTGAGGACATCAAGACCGGTGCGCTGGAAATCGTTAGCAGCTATATCAGCCCCATTGTCCTTGGACCTGGCCACCAGGCGGATATGCATGATGAGGAGGTCTCATGCCAGGGTATCGACTGCGTTATATCTGATATGAAGCACAGGATTGAAAGCCTCGGTATTATGCACGGAAAGGATTCGAAGAAGGGTGGTTGCCACGGCGGAAAGAAGGGTGGAGAGGCTCCGCCTAATCTTCCCCATGGTGGTCCTCACAGGGGCGGCCCGGGCCGTCATGGACCGCACCGTCATCACCACAATGGACACCGCCAAGGCGGCCACTTCTGGTCTGCACTTATTGGCCATGTCTTGATGCCTATCATCATCGGCATCATGGCCGGTGTAAGTGTGTCCATCATGGGTGTAATTGTTGGACAGGGCATCATGAAGTTTTGGAAATTCGCCAAAGCTTGTAAGAACGGCGGAAAGATTGAGGATGAGGAAAACGAAGAAGGTAGGGGGATGTTGAAAGCTTATGTCGATGAGCAGCATAATGAGGAGGCGCTTCCTGCCTATATCGAGGAGGGGATTGAGGTTGTGGAGAAGGAATAAAGTTGATTTTTTATTGGTCTACTACATGTTTAATCGCGGTCCTCCTCTAGGTCCTTTTTCTTGTTGATTTTCTCTTATTGGGTTCCGGTTGGGGTCTGGGGTTTTCTAGGTATTTCATATCAGTGGTATGAAGAGTTTCAAAGGTGCCAGGGACTTATTATACCTTGACTTGATTGTTCTCTTAAATTGGATACTATTCTTTTCTCTCAATTAATGTTCCAGAAACTTTTGACGACTTAACCCGGGGAACCATCGGCCCTCTGTTATCCAACTTTTCCAGGCAAATAGAGTATATGTGAAGGCCAATTCTTCGCCAGTACCGCTAACAATAAAGCCCGGAATCGTTGAAAATCCTCGTCCTATTAAATGTAGTCAAAGAAATAGACCTGTGTGCCCAGCAATCGTTGCCCGTTACCCAGAGAGCGATGGACTAATTCCCCACGGTTGCAAAATTGTAATCACAGATTCTAGTTATAGCGACAGCCGATAACATAATGATCAGTGAGATCATTGAGGAGTACGACAGATACAAAGAGGCGGAGAAACGAAAATGCCAATAGTACACATGCCAATCGAAGCCTGGGCATGGTACTGCTATAGAGAAAACCTGGCGGTACTATTGACGAACAGAGACAACTGGACCCACGAGGACACAAAGATTAAGAGCGACTTATCTGAAGGATGGGTATGCATAGGGAAGATTGAAAATAAAACGGGCAGGCACGAAATACGGGGAAAAGAATATTTCAATAAGTCACCATTAGTTATGGACGGATACATGTGCGGCCCTCGAATAAGGGAGACAAGGCCAAAGACTCAAATTGTTTTAGTATACATGGATTAGTTTTGTTTTATTCCCTTGACATGGCGATTGATGGAGGGGCGTTCTGGGGAGAAAATTCGAAAAATGCTTGTAATCACATATTATCACTCGGTAACCCAGCGGGCCCGACGGACAACTATGGATATAACTAGATTGGCTAAGTGGGCTTATCGGTGTAGTTTTTATGAGAGGGTGTTCTGCTTTCAACGATTGTACGTGCGCGGTACCATAGCTCCACGATGTGTTTTGATGTTTCCTCCGCAGTACAGCTAGCACAGTACCCCACGATGCGCCATAGAGAATTGATGCAACCAACTTAGTCCACGTCGAACATCACCCCGCGTATCTCCTTAATTCCCCTCGACGTACTTGTAACTACTTGCTAGGGTCAATGAATTTTCATAACCTTTCAATTTGGTATCTAGATTTGCCTCTGTGTAGTCTTGGGCCGTTATGAGTATTTGGCGCTGTTCGTCATATAGCAGAAGTTAGAATGGGCGAATCAGAGCCATGAATCACCCAGCCGTAGCGTAACCTTGTTGCTACCTGTGACGCCAATGGTGCATATGCAGTAGATCAAGCATAACTGGGTTGGAACAGCCGTTTGAGAGCGAAAGGACAATGTCTTTGACAACGGTTGATTAATTGAAACTTCTGTTGGTGCACCAGATTCGGCGGCGTAGAGAAATTCCTTTGACGCATACAAAATAATAGTACTAGCTGGCTATTTTTAGAGATTTGATGATATGTTAGAAAGTCATTTAGCAGTCTCTCAAAGCTATGCCCAGGTAATAAGTGATGGAATGGCCTGACAGTACAGGGATGCCTGTTGGGTAGAACGCCACCAACATACGGAGTTTGCGGTTATAACTATATTTCAGGGCGTTCCATCAATTATTACCTGTCGCTATATTTCCTCCGCGGCTTCATTAGTATACACTTGTCGAAACAGCTGGTTTTTGCTGCACATCACGCCATATCACTCGCTGCGTCGTCCAATTACAAGGTGAGACCTCGCTACTAGACTTGAGTTGAAAGTGCAACTCTATGCACGCATGTTCTACATTACTTCCCGGTATATAGGGCTTCTATATATGCGCACTAATAAAAACTGACAATAGCTACTTTACCGGTTTTGGGGGTAAAAAAATAAGCGTTATGTAAGGCTTAAATAAGGGTCAAATAAGAGTTTTGGCAGTATAAGGCTTGTTGATCTTTTACGTCTACAATAATGAACTCGGGCCACTAAGCATTACCCCAAATAAGGATTATGTCGGATTATAAGGCTTATTTCGGCTTATAGCTATATAAGGCTTATTTGTAAATAAGAACATGTACTTGGTGGCAAAAAGAAAAAGGCGGGGGGTTGAACCCAGAGCCTTGCAGGTAGCATATACCTCATGCTACCCATTAAGCCATGGGAGAACTGAAATTCCGGTGCTGGAAGTGATATATGGCCAGTATAATGCGAATTTTAAGCCTTATATAAGCCTTATATAAACCTTATCCACCGAAAAGCCTTAAAAAATGCTTATGAGATGAATAAGGGGTATCTGGTATAAAGACTTAAGCTATTTGATAATAATCATCTAAATCTAATGCTTACACGTAAAATCAGCCGTATATATGCCTTATTTTTGGAGGACTCTTTCACAAGAAAGAGCCTTACCCCAAATTAAGGCCAATACCACCATTATTCGTCCATAAGGCCTTATTTAACGCTTATTTGCCGGTAAATCGTTACTGGAGGCTTATATTTTTACCCCAAAAGACGGTAATGTACATGTAGGCGTATACCACAACTCTATTTGAAATCGCGAACGCTACCCGGTGTGAATGGCCATGGGCCAATCCATTCGGCGAACACCATGGATACTATAAAGGAAAGAGCTATCTATGTATCCACTAATTTGAAGTTATTGCAACAGAGATCTCGATTGCGATAGCGATATAAGCAGGGCGGTAATAAAGAGAGTAGGTCGATTGACATCCCAGGATAGACCAGAAGAGATGTGGTAAGATCAAGTACGATCGCTCTGTATCCTTACCTTTCATCTAGCTGGTTATATCGAGGCGAATAGCCCAAGGGAGACCAGGTGCAATGATCTCTACTATAGTAATTATTATCAAGACAATTTTTGGTTTCATACTGATCTTCGGTGTTTCCCCTCTACGGCATTAGGCATCATTCGACATAGCAAAATGCCCGTTCTCGGATGGGCCAGAATACCACACCTAACAGCTCATACATCTCTCCACTCCTCCTGCATGCCCGGGAAAATCGACTTCTGACTAGGGCTGATCGGATAGTTAATGCACTTCAAAGGGAAGTTTCAACTACAGGGAAACAAAAAAAAGAATCATGAATAGAGTGAGGATCGAACTCACGCGGGTTGCCCCACTAGCACCTGAAGCTAGCGCCATAACCACTCGGCCATCTATCCTGGGTTATGCTGATTTCTTTAAATAGTATTTTTAATTAAACGTAAAACATCTCTGTTACTGCATCGAGATTCACAAGAAGTTGTGGCATATATTTTCCAAGGAGGAGTCCATATCACATATTTGCAGAATGGCAAAATTCAAGCGCATGACTCCTCTGGTCGCAGGAATGCTGGTCTAGTTTGATAATCTCACCCCACCCGGCCGCAAAAGCGACTTTTCATAGTCCTATCAATTTACAATTTTGACCTTGGCCCACAATATGATCCTTTATATAATATAGTGCCTTATAATAAAATCAAAAGCGCTGGCATCAGAGGATTCCCATAATTACACCGGCCAGTACAAATAGAAATAGAGAAGAAAATATGGCTACGCCAGTCAGAAAGAAAAGAAAGGAAAAATTTCACGAACAGAATAATACTCCATTGATACACTCTTTAACACTTTAGGTACGTGGTGGATCACGCGTGGCCCCTAATATTAACGTCTCAAGTAGACGGCTTCGTCAATTCGCGTTTCTAAGCCCGTCCACTCATATCTCCTCACTTATTCCCACTTTCATCTATCGAAAATCCTGTTGAAACGCCCGCCGTCGGTTTTCCGATACCCAATGTAATGCCTCCTGGACCAATAAGACCTCGACTACTTGTCGGTGACATACCTGCTTCTCCTAATGACGAAGTGGAAAATGTACTTGACACACTACTAGATCTTTTTTTGTCTCCACGAGGGACCTTAATTGATGAATAAAGCCCATCCATCTCATGTTGCATTGAGTGGTCTGCGGTTTTCATGGTTGCGGAGCCTGATGAACTGGGACGAGACGGGTTTGAATCGAAATGGAGAGCGTTGTCCTTAGTATCCGTATGCTCATCTTCGGAATAAGAGGGTAAGCTGTAGGTCTTGTGGTGGGCAGTAAGGTACCTACCCCTTAAGCTTGCCGATCCACTGACTTTTTTCCCTTCCCCATTTGAAGAATACAGTTCGAGAGCCTCTAAGACATGCGGGAATACGAGCTTGTCCACATCCCGCGCCCAAAGAAAGTCAAGATGCTCATAGTGTTCGATTTCTTTTGCAACAGTGTGTCCGGGGAGCTCCTTTAGCATAACATTGATATCAACCAAACTATCACTTCCTCCGTAAACAAGGACGATAGGCGTGGTGATATTTCTGGTAGGGAATTTTGCAACCTTGTAGAAATTCTTCCCCGAGAACGCCATTACAGGAGACTGGATATCATCGTCGTACATTTGGAAAGACTGGTTACGTATGATCTGGAACCAGTGTACCACAGTTTTGACTGATGCGTAAGAATATAGTTTAGAGTATGCCGCAATCTTTTGATCAAGGGAGATGTTATTTCCACGCCAATTGAATAGGAATATCAGAAAAAAATCAATCACTCGGACAAAGATTGGGGGATCTGCGGGAGGCTTGTTAGCTTATGTATACGTTGAAAGTATGGGCGGCTCACAGAGAATGCTTTGCCAGAATGTCGTTGAGGGGAGAATGCATTTGCGGCCGAAGAAAAGGAACATGATATTGGGACTTGTCTTCATCAATGCATCCACGATAGGGTTATGCAAGCCTGCGGGACTCATAGCAGGAGCTAGCGCAATAAACACATCTACTTTTTTATTCAATCCTGGGTGGATGCTTAGAGTTGCAAATGCCTGTGCTGTTCCCTGTGAGAACCCGATGTAACTTAGGCTTTTTTGTTTTGTAGTCTCGAGAATGTAATTTATAGAGTCAGGGATATCATGGAACGCAAACTCATCCATGCTGAAATTCCAAAATTTGGTTGAGGTAGAAGGGTGATGAATGGATTTCTTTGAATATTTGTTGCCTCGGTTATTTCCACACTATGAATACTAAGGTCAGGCACAATACTTTTCAAGTTGGATCGATCCAGGCAGTTAAAATTTACCCAAACATCAAAGCCCTTCTCAGCAAGCACAAAAGGCAGACACCTTTCCTTCTCCAAAGAAGCCACCCATACCTCACTATTCATCAATAATCCTGTTTATTTTTTTAAAAAAAAATCAGTATGTCTCCTGCTAGGTTTTAGAGACGATTCGAATTACCATGATGCAAATAAACGACCTTCTTTCCCCCGTTTCCCTCTTTCCCGCGGTTTCTATTCCGCTCTTCTGCTGTTGACTTTTTTACCAGTCTATGCAAGCCCAGCAAGTAACCATCCCCTGTTTGAACGATGTGTTCTTCTATACTCCAATTGCCTTGATCCCAAATCTCGCATAATTCTATGAATCCATCTGCCTCTCGAACACGAGCGACTATATCTTTTTCCACTTTTGTACGAGAGACGGTTGTGTACCGGGTTGATGAGAATGAATTAAATAGGGATCGTGATTTTGCATAAAAGAAGTTTATTAGAGGCGACGCTGGTGATATCGTTTGAGTCAGTGTCAACTCTAAACGAGGGTAATTGAAGCTCGGGTTTGAAGGGTTTCTCACGGAGGGCTAAGGTAATTACTCGTATTACTTTCTCAAATATGAGGAATAGAAAAGAAAATACTAGGGCAACGTACTCCAGCCTAAGATTTCATGAAGAGGACATTAGTATTACAAAACTCTAAAATTCAAGGACATTGGGTGTGCGACTCGCACAAGCAGGATGATGGCAGTTGTTTTAGGTGGTTGGGGAAGTAAAGCTTCCAGATAAGCACACAAAGACGGGAATGGTTACAAATGGAGCCGGCCGACAATCGGCATAGGCATTATTCTCTTCTCTTGAGCTTAATAACCTCAAAACGAACGTGGTATAGCAGCTTCTAGGAGGTAGAAGAGAAGGGTTTGAAGAAGCCGCGACACTAGGATAACCCCCAATTAGCTTTGATCGGAAAGGGGTCGACCTGAACGTTAACATCTGCTCGAGAACTCACCTAATATAAACTACCGGTATGTTTTAGTCCGCGCGTTTAAGTTCTCTTGACCTTACTTAAACACCAATAAAGCAGATCGCGCAGACTTCAAGGGTGCGGATAAATAGCTGTTCGACCTGAAGATTCTGTCTGAAGTTCCACGCGTGCCAGTCTTGGGTTGTGGTTGATAAGAATGGGATCCTACTCAGGGTGATAATTAATTGCGCTGTATCCTGTTTGCAAAAACTTGGAACTTCGGATTTGCGTGCTGGATATATATATCGTGAGGCGTTGATTCAAAAGCTCGCACTTGTCATCGACCGTTGAGCATGCAAGGATGAGGTGCATTCCAGGTTGGCCAAAAGGGGTGTTAAGAAATTGACCTCATCCGGCAATAAAATAAGTAAACTGGCAACAGGAAATAAAATTAACATACATACATGTCATCATAAATTCATAATATCCCTTCGTTCGTACTAGTACCCATAGTGAACCTGCGCCAGGATAACCGCAAAACAGAAAAAGATTATAGGTGACAGACCGTGACTTTAGCGCCATGTTAACCCTAACCCTAATCAATTATTCAACTCTCCAGAAATTTTGGTTATGCTATTCAGCATAAATAGTGCGTTGAATATGCTAATATCGTACTTGTATTAAACGCCGATAGACCTAGAATACCATGTTGACAAATCCCGCTGCAATTTCACTAACCTTTCTGGCATTTTAATTTTGTTGGTATGACATTGTACCTAGGCTTAACCACTGTAGAAAATTGGCAACGAGCCGAGAATATCAGAAATACATTTTGAGGAATACTCAAAGGTTATGAGAAAATTAAGGAAGTAACGGAAGATTGAGTGTATACTACATGTAGGTATAGGAGCTTGTAGATACTGTACCTACATCCCTTCGTCTGTTCCCGCGAATCACGGCCTATTAGCGTGGAAACAGCGTCGTGATGAACCAAAATCTAACGACGATAGTTTAAAGCACTACTCGATTGAGGATTTTTGCGTGACGAGTGGAGGCAATTTTGCACCGCCGACCGCCGCTTCCAGCTAGGCAGTGAATTTTGTGTGGTGAGCCACAGATTGCCACAAGTCCTGAATACAGACGAAGGGGTGTACAATACATGTGTAGGACTACCCCTAACCCTAGCTAATACCTACCATTATAGAAGAGACTAGTCTACATGTAGTTATCATTCTGATAGGTGGCTTACATTGTATATTAGTCTGAGAAGAGCCAGAATTCTCCTCTTCTCATAATAATCAATACAAGTACTAGTACTACATGTAGTTATACGTTATTTTATACACTTCATCTTGCAACATGTCTCAGGAGTGATCGCTGTGCATATATTAAGCGCAGCAGAGATGGAGCACACGTGCACCCGGTGGTAGAGTATGCTGTTACTCTACTTAAATGCTGCCATGTATGTACATGAGACATGGTAACATCAGGTCCTCGCACGCAAGCCACAGAATCGAGATTCGACACTCGGCAAAGTTGGCAGCTCTAACAGTCTAAGGGATAGGCATGATGGCTATTGTTCTTCCCTTCAGTATCAGAAATAAAACCCATACAGCATGCGCGTAGTCAAGGCCCTGGCCTAAACGTCACTATTCTAAATATCCATACTCAGGCAATACAATATTATATGGCCGGGATTCATGCAAGACACATACGTGTCTTGGATAAGTCCGCATTCTAGTTTAAAAACTTGGCTTGTGATTATGACAATGTGAATATAGAGGCTTTTTATCGCTTTTGTTAGAAAATTAAACAGATCGAAATTCGAAAGTTGAAATTGATGTTGAAACGTACTCCCAAGTCGTTGCGACTGCAGTACTGGCTAACCCAATAAACCGGATTATTGATCATGATAGATTATCGGCTTTTGAATTATTGTAATAGAGTAATCTATGCTGTTAGTGCAATTGAATAATCCAACTTTCCGAACCCAATAATCCGCCAAGAAAATAATCACCTTCGGAGGTTAGAAAGTATTCCCATAGCACAGGTGTCCTATAAACACACACCATGTATATCTTTGTTGTCCGGACCTATAGATTAGGCATTCATAGATTATGAGCATTGGTATTATCCAAAGAAATAATCTATGGTTGTCCGAACAGGCCTACATCTATCCCAGTCCAACCGCCTGGTCCGGTTCTTGGCGCCGTCATCCCACTTTTCGTCTACTACGAAACGCAACACTTTGATTTGGTTACGAAAAGCTCACCGAAATGCCGTCCTCATGCAAAGACATCCGTAAGGTCCCTTCTCAGTACTCAAACTTAATGCGTAGCGAGTTGAAAAAATATACTTACGAATTCTGCGATCAACAGGAGCAGCGCTAGCAGAATGTCTCCAGAACTCCGATTGCGTTATGGTTCAGCGCAATAAACCCAGTGATTGCATTCGCCCACCATTGTCAGAGACGTTACCAACCCAATGTCAGCAGTTAAAGAGAAGCTATGGCCAGTGCAAGTGCGTTTGAGCTGCCCAAGTGCCCCCCCCCCCCTCTTTCCACCCAATAGCAACCCTCCATCATTGCCGCTATAGTCGTTACAGAATTCGGATTGGGTACTGATCTTTTGTCGTTTGATGTGTAGGAGAGGAATGGTTGATATGAGGAAACGGTTCCGTGGTAACGCGCCGATTGGGTCAAGCAAAGAGGCCGAAGGGAGTGGGAGGGCGCCACAGCTGTACGGAGGCAGGCCTATGTATCCCGAGCAGGGGGTAGGGGGTGAGGGGGAGTCCGAAGGGAAGAAGGAATAAATGAGGAGGAATATATGTAATTTCATTAACGCTTACCTTGAATTCACCACTGTCTTTTACAGTCTTAGCTTTGGCTTACCACTATACATATTTCTAGGTTTGTACTAGTTGTTTATTTTCGTTAAACTGAGGTTCCAGTCAGGTTCTGTAACTGCATACAATAGCGATACTAGATGAACAATGTTACGGTCTGATACCTACTTCACGTGGCTAGGAAAGCACCTGATGTGTGACTCAACGAGACTAAAAGAAAAACATTGCAGACATGATGTAGTTACTACATGTAGTGAGTCGTGTTCTATGTCCCATCTTTTACGCGTATTTACACGTAGAAATAAGGTTCACTAAGCATATAGGTGGCCCATAAGCGGCTCAGACCCATGTCAACGTCTAGAGTGATCTGCAGTTCACCTATATTTTAATAAGCAAGCGAGATGGGTGACGCATGGGAAATCGGGCTGGGACTTTAAGCTGTCCTGAACACGAACGTACATGCTTAAGAAGAGTATACATATATATACACGTCTATACTTTTCTCCAAACCATATTCGGGACAGTTGATTCTCCCAACTGCTGACGGTTAGGCACAGGGACGGAAAGCCAATATATATGCAGTCGATGCAGTACGCAGGTATCAAGCACAATACAATATTATTATTTTACGGCTTGGTGCTGGACGAGCAGGCATTGTGTAACCCATAATAAGATGCGCAACCTATAATACGATGGAACTACATTACGCCTCCGAGTCCCACATCAATACTGATTCCTACATGTCATCAACGCGGTCCTTAAGTTCCACGACTGTGCCCTTTATAATATTGATCAATCTTTCAAGATAAAACTTTCACGAAGCGCGCTTCCTGTTGAAGGTAACTAAGGGTACGATTCGAGTATACCCCTAAACTAAAGAATTTGAGAGGCGAAAATGAGTTATATGCGACAGGGTTATAAGGTCTAAGAGCAGTAGGTGTGTTACGTAGCCAGATGACAGATTTGATATACAGTACTAATAAATCTACAAACAGATTTCGTCAATATATCGGATCGAAGAAGCTTGAAGGACGAGTCCATCAATTTTTATAATCCCCAAAAACCAGTCCCCGCAGCCATTTAACCTTCCCACTTAGAGCCCTCCGCTAAACACATACACTGCAAGTAAACAGTTAGCTTAGATTAGAGCTCGAGCTCGAGGTGTACCAAAAATCCGCAGTCCGACGGCCGTTTTTGATCATATCACTGCGCTGCTGCTACTATTGACTTGACCCCGGTACTAGCTAAGACTAAACCCTAAATCTTTCCCTGCTCTTACTCTCACCCTTCTGATTTCCTTGACCAGGCCCCTCGCGCGGCCTTCGTTATTCTCTTCTTTCCCTAGCTCGCCTTTCCTTTTCCCACTCCTCCTATTACTCCTCCCCTCCTCCCCCTCACTTTTCCATCATTTTCTCGTCACGTCCACCTCTTTCATTGTAACTCTTCATCGAATTCTTTTTTCCATCTATTTCTTGACAGATATAGCTATCCTGGCTGAGTACCCTAAACTCATTTGAATTCAACATACACATCGCTGCGTTCACCTGAGTCAATCCCATCATGACGGAGCCCGTTAGAGGTATGTATGGTGAAGCATCTTTCGAATCCAGACATGATTGATTTTATCAAAAAAGATTTATCCTCTTATGTATTATTACACCGAGACCCGCGATTCATCCACTTGTTGTTTCAATTCTTGGATGTCCTGATAGAATTTCCTCTTGATCCGCTCTATATTGTCTCTCACCTGAGGGTTTGAGTGATCTGCAACACCAAACCCAGCATCGATGAATTAGCTAACTTATTTCCATCAAATTAGGTCCCCCAGAGGATGAGATGCAAGATAGTATAACACTTTCGGCTGCTCCTCGGGCGAAACCATGTTTAGAGGATGCTTTTGGTAATCCTGCTAGCGCTTTTCTTGAAGATGAAGTTCCAGCCTCACCTACCTATTCGGTTTCATCGATGAGTACACTCTCTTCAATATCAGACCTTGACTTAGACTCGGACTCAGAGTCTCTACCGTTACCTTCAAAAGTCAAGTCTGAAGTTGCTGATAGTAATGATGTTCTTGAAAATATGGGAAATGTCATTCACGCAGACAGCTTACCTCCTGAAAACATTGACCCCCCACAAAAAATCTACCAGAAGTCTCGAGTCCGAGGGGTTGATGTTTGTGCTGATGCAGATACGGTTGAAGCATTTCGAGTTGCTAGAGCCATTGCTGCTACCGAAGACAGTACGTTTAATACCATCGGGTCGAGGCAGCTTCGGTCGTCAAGTAAACCCAGCAGTGCAAAAAAGACGTCACCCAACCCTTGTAACGGAGACACAGAAATCTCTAGGGAAAAAAGTAGGCTCAGTGCTAATACCGGTAGTGGTGCCAATACACAACTGGTGGTTTCATCAGCTGCAATCGATCAGGATTGTGAACATATTCAAAATGAAGATCACAAGCCCTCTACAACAATATATTCGCCTCCAAACAAAAGCCATACAAGGAAAAGGAAAGTAGAGACACATGACCATATCCAGCAGCCGGATCACACTTTATCACTCGAAACCCCTGCTCCACGAAAAAAGCGTAAGCAGAAGAGATCGTCCTGGTGGGCTTGGGTCGAGATGGAAGACGCGGAAACCCTAGAATCAAAAGTACAAAAAGAAGGACTACCAAAAGAACCAGCCAAACGCCATACGTCTCTGCCCCCTGAGTACAGTATTCAACAGTTTTCGTTCCGGGCTGGTTATCTCTCCAATTCCGATAAAGACTTGATTCGTCAGTCGAGAGCTCTGTCCGAAGGAGCTGATAAACCACGGGATCCTAAACCTATTGTCCCAACGATTACTAGGAAAACCGGGATTCTGGCCAATGCTACAATAACTTCGGGGAGGCTACGGCCTCGCAAAGAGCCGAGTACCTCGAGCTCCCATAGATTTCGGAAGTCAGCCTCCGATTTTATTGTTCCAAACAATAGACTTATCGATAATGGGGTTGAAACTAGTACTACGAGTTCTTCTAGGGTCCGACCACTAGCAGGTGAGAGTGGCCTTAATCCACTTGTTGAATATCAGAACGAAAAAGCTGACAATAGAGCAGACATCACCAACAGACTCCATGTCGAACCCGATGCCGGTGGCGAAACAGCAGTCAAAGTGACCACATGCCTGGATCATGGCTCAGAAATATTAACTCCAAAAAGAAGAAAATTGAACTCTAGTGCTAAAAGTGTTCAAAACTATGGTGGAGAACAGGTTGTCGCACCAACTGCTGTTATTAGCAATGTCGAGCGCTTTGGGACTGGTGTCTTTACGGTGGTCAACGGCGTATGGATGATGCCCAAGATTTGTCACAAGTGAGATTTTCTTCTCCTGGTATATATTTTTATGATTACTTTTTCTAAACATCATATTCTTAGATGCTTGAAAGTACGACAATTCTGTGACAGAAGAACGCCTTGTGATAGATGTAGCAAAGGGGGTACAGAATGTACCCGGGATGAAGGACTCGTTCAAGCAAAGATTGTTAAAACCGAACAGAAGGACGAATTTTTCCCATTCTCATCACCTACACCTGAAACATCGTCACAGAGAAAACGAGTAAGGCAGGCATGGAAGCCACCAAATCACGTCCCCCAACTTTCGAACGAAACCCAGAACCCAATAGCACCAAAAGTAAAAAGGACCCGGGTTAAAAGGGAGGTGATGAATAGGCACCAGGTTGAGTATTCCAGCCAGGAAATGTCAATGATTCTACACGATCCCCAAGCAGATAAACCTCCTGGTATCAGAAGACCGGAAATTTGGTGCGAGGTAAGATTGTTCCTTTCCTTTTTATCTTTTTTTCATCCAAACTCGTACTAGACCTTGAATACACTGCTAATCAGTGCATTATATTTTATAGTCTCGCCAAGAACTTTGCGAGAGCTTGACATACTTTCGCAGTTATCAAGGTGGTTGTTATGGACATAATGGCCTTATTCTAGGATCCCTCCTTGATGGTTTCCCTTCACCAAGAGACTTTGTTGATGGCAAAGTTGTTATCACCCATACGTTCGTAGATTCTTCCCTTTTATTATCTATCGTACTCGGTTGTTAACACTAAAACTACAGCGGTGGCAAGTCTGGCAATGATGAGGATGGGCATCGCAGGCTTCTTGCAAGCCAGACAAAAGATGACAAGACAATCAAATACCTCCTTAGGAACATCGCAGACAAGTCACCATTGGTCCTGATAATGGGTTAGTTACTTTTTGATACCCGTAATTCCAATTGATACTTATTTTGTCAATTTTTAAATTTAGGCAAGAACTGCGCAATTTCGCCTTCGAAAATTCCACATACATACTGTGTCATGGCTTGGTTCAAAGTCACTGTTGGATGGGCTGAAAAGGATCCAGCCACTGGATTAGCCAGATGGAAATTTCGTTTCGAAAAACTTGATACAACAGAGGATGGGTGGTGGGCTGGAGAGCCATCAGTTGAAAGTGAACATCCTGAGGAAATGGTGATGGGTACTTGCCGCACTTGTAAGACTGAGAGCCCACATATCTACAAAGAGGGATGGATGTGCCTCGATCAGGGATGTTCCCAATTCTGGCAGGTAAGCACTCCATTTACCTTATCCTAGAAATTTACGAACATTAATTCGTATTTAAAATAGCTTGATGGTAAGGATGCGCCTGCAGAGCTCGAGTACACTCACAACTTTATATTCTGCCGAACACAATGGCCCCTAGAATGCTCAATGCCTCCTAGCGAGTTAGCGCCAACCCTCGATGAAAATCGTGATATTTTCTATAACGGAGAGGATGTCTCACGTATCTACTGGAAGGGTATGTGGTGCCATAAATGCGGCCGTCTGAACTGTAGGGAACTATGGGCCGGTTGGAGATGTTTATCATGCGGCTACACCATTAATCCACCACGCACAATTTTTACCCCTGCTAGTTTGGCGAATCCGCATCGCCTAATCTTTACAGGGCCTGCCGTACCTACAAACACTTGTCATGAAGATGTTGCGTACAAACGGTTCATCGTAGATGGCATGACAGTGATGCAGTATATGTTTGGAGATTGTGGTACCGTGACACATATCCTAGCAAACAAGAATACGAATGCGCGCCCCAAGGACGCTGACTGGCTATTGCAACATTACCAGTCCATTGAAATGCCATTTAAGCGTTTTCCCTTGCAGAATCATAAATGTAAGTTGGGTCAATTACACCCGTAGAAAACGGACATCTATACTGACACTTAAATATTTAGCCAGGGGAACATTGTTAACTCAACAATTTTCGTTCAATTGTGTAGGTCTTAATACTATTCACCGTTGATTATTTAATACTGATGATACCCTAGGGTGCACCATATAAGTTCATTGCAAAAGTTGACAGCAGCCCATTCGACAAGTCTCCGCCAGTCGTATCTCAAGCGCTAAGTCTTATCACCGCTCGCGCAAGGCTCGTTCATGCCAATGCAGAATTCAATGAAATTCTTAGTGTTGGTTACTTCGAAGGCCAGAAGATGGACGTGAGTTTCATCCTTGGATCTTTCACCCTTACAGTATAACATCCTCTCACACTGTATAACAATTTAGTATCATGATGATGGTGAGGCTGGCCTTGGGGAAACTGTCGCCTCTGTCTCCCTAGGCGCGCCAGCTCGTATGAGATTTCGATTGAAGAAAAAATATGTCAAGGATAGCCATCTTTGGACAACTAAACCTCCTGCCTTACAGCAACATGATAATTCAAATATAGATGACGAAGACGAAGATGAGGAGAACGAGGACTTACCTGATCTTCAACGGAAATCATCAGCCCGGGTCCCAAAAGATGCTAGAGTCAAGCTCGACTTGTGCTTAAATCATGGAGATGTGATGGTGATGAGTGGCCCTGGAATTCAGAAATACTGGGAGGTATGTTTAATCATTTAAGTTCTCTACTCTTCCTTCTTACATCATGCTGACCAATTGTATCCTGCAATAGCACTCTGTAATCCCTCTAGGGAAATTTAGGATAGCGGCCACCGCCCGCTTTATCCATCCAAATCATGCAGGTGTTCGTGAGCAGCTAGTGGATATGAATGTGGTTACGGCCAGCGCTGAGAACGCCGGCTCAGACTCTATCTCATTACAATCACAGCCCTCTGGCGAAATTCAACAGGTGCCAGTATCAAAGGAATATACGCATGAACATACTGGCGGTGAAGACAATACTGCTGGTGTTGAAAATAATGCCCTGGATGAAACTCCATTACACCCAAGGCTCTCAGAATCCCAGAGTATTCAACAGGCACTTGTGCCATACGGTATTGATACAGCAGTAGCTATCAATCAAAACACCTCTTATAAGCAAACTCAAGAATTCCCAAGATTTCCTACTGCGGATATCTTTCACCCCGCAGATGTTCCGATACAAACGCCAGCCGATAACAGCTTTTTTACATCATCCACTGCATCGCTCTTTAATAGCATGCAGCCACCGGAACATACAGAGTTTTACAAGTCCCGCAAGTTACCTGAACTGCCAGAAAATATGTCCATCTAGTTCTGGACAGACACTAGTCAACTATTCCTTATCAATAGCCACCGACAAACTTGACGTGGGTTTAGGGTCTTTGGATATTCTTTTGATCAAGACCTTTTCTATCTCTTAATTGTGTGGGTATTACTTTTCCTAAAACCGGTTATGGGATTATGTCGATGTTTTTCTTTCTTTTAACTTTCACTCCCGTCAATGTTTTAACCACGAATGTTATGCCGTCATACGTATATTACCAATAACTTTTCCGAATTTGTAATAGGCCTATGGGGCTGAAGAGGTTGATAAAATCATGTACACCTCTCAGATAGTTCTATGATCATACACGCGCATATGATGTGAAAATAAAAGGCTACAGAGCGGTTCAAAGATGTCCCTTCGTTGAGATTTTATGATTCATGAGGAACTAGTTTATGCAGATGCTATCCCTCATGCTTTTACTGGCCATATATGGACGCGTTACTACCCGCCACGATTGAGCATGCTTATAAATAAGTATAGCTATAATCAATATAATAACATATAATCCGTGATACTCAGTACCTATGGCTAGGTCCCCCCCCCCCCCACTTTGAACTGGAAATCTTTCTAGGTAGTAATATAGGAGTGCGCTGGACCTAAGAGTAGTGTTCAGATTTCAGGTACTCGATCGCTGAAACGCCTCTGCGACCCGAAATTACGACCCTCTGTAGGACGGAGATAGGAATAAATAGAGAATAGGCCTTATCCTCTTGATTAGAAACTACGAGTACAGTAATGAGAACAGTGGTGATCCCTAGCGTCACGTCTTGAACTGGCATATTGAAGAGACACAATTAATGAATTAAACAAAAAAAAAATTAAAAAAAATTTTTTTGAAGAGACAACCACCATTTTGGCCGAGTGATAGTTTGTGAATATCTGCTGGGCCTTGAGGCATTTGCTGATAGCTTTGAGTTTCATGATGAGCTAGATTTGGGCAATAACCGAATGGCTAGAACACTATGATGGGATGGCGGAGTGAGGCGCTGAGATTGTTACATCGTTCGGATTACCATATCAATCATTATATGAGGATTTCGTGCGTGTCTTGGGGATTCCATTTCCTTTTTCGAGTCGACTAAAAGTATCATACAATATCTCTATTGTCTCTTATCTTATTTCGAATATGTCGTGATTTTTCACCTAACTCTGAGGATCGTAGGCAAGCCTAGCCGCAGACGGATGCCAGAAGGGGATTAATGTACTACATGTAGTATGGCATGTATTATGGTGAAAGGACAGGCCATCATCGTCATCACCGGGAGCATCATCGGCGTTACCACCAATTCTTCAAGGCCATGTCTGTTCAGCACCGTGCGATATTATCAGCTTCTGTCCTACTACTTTCTCTGCCCTCCCCGTTCGATTCACTTCAACTTCAACATGTTTTCAGTCGCAAACAAACCCCCCTTTGTCTAACTAGCTACATCATGACAGCTACTAATTGAGACAGGTCCACCGCTTACAGTTGACGATTCTCTACCTCCAGCTCCTCATATCAGGGGTAAATAGCGCGACCTTTTGTCCTAGACCTCATGGCCAGTCAAACATTCAGGCCGGACGTATTGAGGGCCATAAACAGTCTTACTGCCTTATCATTACGAGCTGCATCCTGGAAGAAAGAAAGGTGACACCCAGTCAAAGATAAACTAAAGACGGTAAGTGAAGTAGTAGTATTCTAAACATCTCCCAGCAGCCAGGTCAAAACCCACCACAGCCAACCAGTCGCCTCTTGGCACGGTGAAGCTAGAAGCTTAAACCTCGTCGTCCAGAAGAAAACTTTACGCTCGGGGCAACTCAATGGCTTCCAGCTAGACCACGTTTCCCAGCCCGCTGTCAAAGCGAAACAGTTGTGTTGAGTTGAGTTGAGTTCAGTTCTGCTGGTCCGCTTGGTTTAAGGGCGGCTACCCTAGCGACAGAGTTACGTATGCACGTGCGTGCGTGCGAGAAGCACTCCGCATTGACGCTTCTCCTTCTTCTTCTCGGAGAATAAAATAAGATCCGAGGAGGTCAGTGTGCCAATGTCAAACTTGTGGAAATCAACCCCCAATTCAGATAAAGTTTGTGTCTCCCCCCCACCACCCCCCAACCTCACACACCCCGGGAAATCAGTGTTAATACTTTACTCCCGATCGCGGTGATTCTGCAGGTACTTGGTGCTAGGACGAACCGGAGATTAGTCGGGGAAAATCACCATAAAATGTATTGCTAGGGGAGGATGGGGCGCCGAGAAACATATCATACTTACTTACTCTCATCTCGAACATTGCCAACATCAACGAATCATCGGATGAACTTACCGGCCCGCACATTGACCCTCATTGCAGTATGTACATACCAGTACCTACCACCCCTTGACTCACGTCACAGCCACTCACTCGTCTTTTCCTCCATGGCCGTCTTTTGTCCCCACCCACCCCCTAATCACCACGCCCACCAAGACCCTCTACCCGCTCATGGGTATTCCAAATATCGGGATAGGTGAGTTTGCCCCAATCATTGAATTATAATCGGAGGCGGCGGGGTGGGAGTTGAAAGGTCGGTCGGGTATTTTACCGCAACATATGCACGCCACCGGTGTTTCTACCGTACCGCAGTGCGTGTGGTGGTGGTGGTGGATATACCCGATCGAACCAGCGCAGCGTGATCTCCTTAAGCGATCGATGGGAATGAAAGTGACAGTTCAGCACAGAGCTGCTGTTGATCTTCTTTCCTCTAGCTTTTACCCTTTAAAACTGATTATAGTACTGGGGTTCACGGCTAGCATCATGATGATGTGGTGGGATAAGCAGCAACATCACGAGCATCTGGATATTCAAACAAATTTTTATTTTCTTCCTTTATCGTGATTCCTAAACCTGGGGGTCTGGGGTAAAATAAACCATTCTATACCTGCTCCACATCGTAAAGGAAATCACATTTGGTTTCAGGCCGTCACAAATTCTAAAGTTGTTTGCCACCCGCTGGGCTGAGCTGGCTGGCTGGCTGAGTTGAACTGCGAGAGTCCAACAGACGACAGACATACGCACGCCCGCATAACGGCGGAACGCACCACTTTGACCTTCTCTCTCCTCCCTTTGACCTCACGGATGAGGAGCTGGCCAAAGATTCATCATGCGGGCCTCGCATCTAAAACCCGGTTTAACTTACCGGTACGGCGGTTGTTTCGGGGGGAGGGCGCGGGACAGGGCGGATATCAAGACAAATCCGAGCACGGCCGAAAGCGAGTGATAATCCATGCATGTGTCTGTCCTTCTTTGGCACATGAGCCTCACAAACGGAAAATACCTCCCGAAACAGTCTGTGAAAGGCAGGGTGACCGACATAATTGTTCACCCGCAGATAACGATGAGATCGATTGATTGATTTGAAACGCTTACTGATAGACACTTGACCAGCTGGGGCCGGGGCTGGCGTTTGCTTTTTTTTTTCTTTCCATGAGGAACTGAGTCAAAACAGAAGGCAGATTAATAATTGATGGGCCATGGGATGAACTAGAGGAGAATATCTGGCCGGGCCAGCAAAACTCCCCCCAAATGGGACCGCCGGTATCAGTAATTATTGCCATGATTGCCGAGCAGGAGCTCGGATATCAGGTGCGTGCTTTCTAAGACGCATATCTAGATCCTTTATCTAACTGATTGTCAAAATTTGGGCCATCGATGTTCCTAGCTATGTATCCTCCTGTTCCCCAGCTGCGCCCCCGCGCGCGCACGTATGTACCAAGCTACAAGCTACAATAATCAACAGCCCTTCCACGTGCCAAACCGTCCCTCCCGTAACCCTTGCGTCGGGGCGGGTAAGCTTCTCCACTCAAAAAAAGAAACAATCCTTCTAGATTCCCGTCAAACATACATACATACATACCCGGCGTGTGGGTAAGGGTAGGGTACGGTTACAAATAAGATAGCATCGGAAACAAGAGGGAAACAATAGCAAAATGCGTTTCATGTAGTTTATTTTATCAGTCCCGGAGATCTGTTTCCCACCCCCAAGAGATCGAAGCTTTCATTAACCACCACCCCCCGGCAAAAACCATAAATAACTGCGATCTAGGACTTCGATGGAGAGAGGTGTGCATGCACGTTAATTCTCCCAGTGCAGACAGCATCATCAACTTCACTACCACCCGCCCCCCCCCCAATTCTACCTGTCCTAACCGTGAGTTGGGGTGATTGACATGTGTGATCGTGTGATTGCGTGTGAGCGAGTGAGTGAGTGTGCAGGTACTCTAGGTACATGCGTATGTAGGTAATCAATCTGAAATATGTACACTACTATACTGATTGACTCGACTCAAGCAGCAGCGCAGCTGGTTGACGTGAGATCTGGAAAATTTGTGATCGCAATGTTATAGCCATATCTATTTCGAAGTAGCCGCGCTCGCCGTATGTAGGTACTATACGTCTCTCTGCTAGCTTCTGATGCTGTACGTGCGCACGAAGGCAGGCAGTGGTTCGTGATGCGTGGGGGTTCAGTAATCCGAGGACTACTATATTGTAGATATCTATCTTTAGTAGTTGGACAGACGTGACAGTTAATTCAATCTGCCCTACGCAACACACCTACTCACTCCGACCGGGCCGACCTGGGTAGTGCTCTAGCTAGCTCTAGTTTTGGTTTAGATACCCGCAAACTTACTTCACTCTGACACTGCTTTTGCGAAAGTCAAGACCTCAAAAAAAATAAAACCTGTGCGACACGGGGGGAGTGGAGTTGTGGATAGGATAACAGGCAGTTACAGGGCCGTTTGACGCCGGCGAGCACACGGCGGAATCGGGCAGATGCCTCTGGATCGGACGTTGCCCGCTCGGATATCGTCGAGAATGTTCGTCCTTTTTTCTTCTCCCTGGGTTGAGAGGTTGAGCTGGCCTGTTTGGTAGAGCTAGCTGGGTAGGTATGTTATCTTTTGCAGTCCATGTATGTACCTAGCTAACTAGGTACTCTGGGTACATTATCTTCGAGCAAGGAGTTTCGAGTAGAGCAGAGATAAGGAGAAGAAGGAAAAATTTCAAGAGATTAACAATGCGAAGATCCGATCTCGCTTGCTTCCGCCCCGGTACGGCATCCTCCTTCTACGGCTCCTTCCCCCCCCATGTCCCCCCCCATGTGCGAGGGAGACATACGGGTACCTCACGCGCGCATCGGCCGATATGGCAGGACACTGAGATGGTCCCGATATGTGTTTGAACCCCCCCCCCCCCTCTTTCCTTGCCTGCGTTGGGTCTGAACAGAACAGAACGGGGGAAAAAAATTGGAGAGTGTTTAATTACGATGACCGGTATGGGTATGGGTATGCAACTTTATCTGCGCTGTGCGGGAGGGCGGGCCGGATTGGACTTCCGCCTGGGAGGGTCTCGGGTCTGGCCAGTGCTGTGTCGATGGGGATCGGACCGGCGGGGAGGGAGGGAGTGGAGAGTTTGGCGGGTTTTGTTTCAATTTCAATTTTGGGGCGATGCGATGGAAGATGGCGAGTGGGGGATGCGATGGGGGTTGGAGATGGGTGCGGGAAGGGTAGTGTAGTAGTGGATGGGGGAGAGAGAGTGGAGCTAGAGATCTGAGAGTGGATGATAGTTGGTGATTCGGCGTTGAAACGAGGCATCGAGTGATATCGCGATATTATCGGGTCACAGCTAGCTAGATGTCCTCCTCCTACTAGCTACCCACTCACCACCTAGCTCTCCGTACTCTAAATTCCCAGACCCTCCAGCTAGCAGCTAGCTAGCTCACACAGCATCATCATCACACAAAACCACAAACCACAAATTAAACCGCCGAACCCAATCCAGACCATAAACCGCCAGACCATTTAAACCAAACCAAATAAAAACCGCCGAACCCCAAACGTCAACCACTACTGGCACCACCAACACTAGCACTAGCTCATTTTGTTTTGTTTCTTTTTCCTCCTAAGTAAGATCTTTTCCATTTTCAAATTAACCCCAGCCAGCCAACTGTAGGTACATACTAGCCAGCTGGGTAACTAGCCCATCTCCCCCCCCCACCAACCTTCCGCGCACAAGGCGGCGGCCCAGATCCAGATCCGCATGCTGCGTCGAAATCAGTGAGGCAATATCTCTGTCGTGTGCGATCAGACATTACACAAAGCCCTGTTTCACAATTTTCTTTTTTTTCCAAGTTCGTTATTAATTTTTTTTTTTTTTTCGGAATGCCACGAGGGATAGGGCAAGGCAATCAAGCAAGAGTAGAAGAAAACGGATAGAGTGGAGAGAATAGGAAGGATCTGTACAACTCAAAAGTTCCAAAATGCAGGTTGGAGTGGAAATTACCATCACTCACGTATGAAGCACCGTCAAGGTTAGGTCAGCATTATCATTTTACGGCTCACAAGCAAGTAAGGAAAGGGGAGAAAAAAACTAAATAAAACCTGGAAAAGACAGACACATATGTAGAAAAAGCTATTTTTGTTGGCTTCTGTAGATCTGGGGTTACATTTTTCCAGCAGGTTACAGGTTGATTAGGGTTACACTTGTAGTACCTACATACGTTTTGGTTGACAGACAGAATAGAGCTTCTTAACCCCCGTCGCCGTTCCCCCGGGGGACCCACTATTATGGGTTGCAAAAATCAGGTTTTTTCAATGTGTGTTCGTCCGAAGAAAGATGAAAGATGGTTTCGTGGGACACAGCAAGTCCTCTCTCTCTCTCTCGGCCAGTGTCTAACTACATGTATTACTACGATACCTACAGGGATGGGGCTCCTAATAGTAGGAAGAGTTAAACCCAGTTAGTTAGGTGTAGTTAGCTCATGGCCAGTGCTGAGCTAGTCTGCCTTTGGGGCCCATGAGAGATATTTCCCTCTCACTCACAGATATCATCAATGCACGTTTACCAATTATGACGTCCATCAAGTTTCCCTCTTTCCCATCAGCGGTTTCATCAGCAATTTCATCACGACCCACAGCAATAACAACAACAACTACCACATCCCTAACCCTTCCTGCCCAGAACCAAGAAAATTCCCCCAGAGTAGCACAGGCCCGAACTGAACCAACCTGCTTGCCTTGAGCTGATTACTTCATTCCACAGCATATGTTTGATGTAGATTAAACTACCTACGTAGCTGTGGAGAAAGAAAAAAAAAAAATAGATATTTTGAGAAACACTTTGATGTCAGTGAGCAGTGATGCGGGGGACGTCGTCGACGCCATATGCGGTGGTGTCTCCTGGGTCCCAGTGACAATGACAAGACAAGCGATCCAGTGTCAAGCGACCCAAGCGAGAGAAGCTCGGTCCGTCCCATACTCCATAATCCCCTAGCCCCACAAACCACCACCTCCACCACCGCCGCCGCTAGGGAAAAAAAAAACTAGATCCCAAATTTAGCACCCCGAAAACCAATTTATCGACCTGCATAAGTTTAAATTATGCGAAACGGATATTACTCCCCCATCTTGATTTGATTCTCTCCCCGGCCAGGGTCCTAGATGACAAACTACCCCACAGTCTCGATAAATGGGGACAGAATTGGTTTGGTTGCATTTCATTTTACTCTGCAACTCCCGGTCAAGGGTCCCGTGCTGAAATGGAGTCGAGTATGGTAGAGATATCAAAGAGGACTGGTGATAATATCCTGTGAATCTACTCTGGACCCTCGTTTGGGACCCGAGCATCCTTCTGTTTGTCCTACCTGGACCCTGCCCTGAATCCACCGACTGCCGTACGTCGGGCGCGGTACATACACAGACTCATACTCCTATGTACCCTAGAGTCTACGGGCAATTACTCATAATATCTTCGGTACCTACTGGAAATGGCACAATCTGCAGTCCAGAATAGAACCAGCATCCTGGACTCATGTTCATAACCGAGCTTCTCAAGAAAGCATTGTTTACGTAGTCAATGTAACTGACAAAAGAATCAAGTACCCCGAGAAGGAATAGGATGAGGAGCTCGACATCAGGAATACCTAGAGGGGGAGAAGAATTCCGGGCAGGTACATACCTACATACACACATAAAGTGCACTACTCAGTTACATAGTGGCGGGTAGAGAGTTTTGGCCAATCATAAATCTCCGGGTACGGGATTTTGGTGATTTTGCGTCCAAAGCCATCAGTCCGCCCAGTCCGCCATAAATAATAACAGCATTCCCATGCCGAGCCTGACAGGACAACTTTACTCTATGCACGCATGAAAATCTGGGGTAATCACGCACATTGATGATTTGTCCTTTTGGATGGTGCATGCAAGCGATTGGGCGGCGTACCATGTCTCCAACTGATGAGCAGGTTCGTTGGCAGCAGGAGGAAGAGGGATGGAGCCGCATAATCGACGAGTCAGATCTGATTAACCATGCAACTAAACCCATTGTCACGTGGTTTCGCTCACATTATTCATAGATTTGAGATGTAAGGGTCCTCATATTGAAGTTGTATATACAATATAGATGTCGGGGAAAGGCTTCAAAACTGCCGTCTTGATGTAGGTCTAGATGTGTAGAATTAGTAGCTACCAGTAATTAGCCATCTGTTACCAATTACATACATATATAACTCTAGGAACGACTTACCGACAAAGAATGAAGCTCTTTCCAATATAGTAATACCTATTTTCTATGGGGCAATGTATAAAAAAGAAGACTGGCAGAAAATCAGTAGGGCAATCCAATATCAAACTCTCCATAAGTACTTACAAAGATCATGAAATACCGGGCCAATGAGAAAAGATTTCCCCGCAGTCGCATATCGCAACGGTCTTCGTCTTTAGACCCAGATGTGATACAGTTAGGAGTACCGCGGCCGACATCTGCGTACAAGATAATCGAGTATCTTGACGTACAGCCAAACCAAGTTCTAGTTTTGTGGCATATGGTTATTGGTTCAATAAAGATGAAAAGCATTCCAAGAAATATGGATAGGGCGCAAGATAGTAGAATATCGACGTACAACCAAACCAGATCCCAATTTTGCGGCGCATGGTTATTGTCTACTCCCTATGCCGGTGAAGCTGAAACCTATTCCAAGAAGTAAGGGTACGATGAGGATTATAGAAGATCTCGACGTACAGCCAAACCAGGTCCTAATACCTTGAGATTGAAGTCAAACCAGGTCCCAATTTTATAGCCTATGGTTATTGGTTACTCCCAATGAAGCCGAAGATACGCCAAGCATCGTGTCTCAATTCCGCCGTTTGCGTCGAAAATCAGCCGGTGTTACCCCATATCTCATGCTGGGAGAGCCGTTGAGGTACAGTACCAGGGTCGATGAGGTGGATGAAGGTCAAAGACGTTATTCGTTGAAGATGTTATGGGATGATGATATTGGAGGAGATTAAGAGGAAACAAATGTGATCTTCACCTCTTTTTATATACTGCCCAACTTAATATATACATATTCTCATCCCCAATTACACGTTTCTTTACTTTCTCAATTGAGAAACATACGGCCATCATGTTGTTTATAAGGCTAGGAATATATATAGGGTTAGGGTTATATATCTCGGGGGTGAACATATCTTAAGACTTCGTCGATCGCATATTTCGTTCTCAATGGCAGCCTTGTAGATGAAATTGTGTCTAAGGTTAAATTCCACTTGGGCCTGGAGCTGTGACATGGGGCGCCGGCTGGCTCTGGATCTTCCGCAAAGTACCTTTTGTGTGCAGTGTAGGCACATTTGTACATATCTGGAACGTTGTTGGTGGTTGTGTGGTTGTGTGTGTATCGATATCTGGAGCGAGCGATCCCGGGAAAGGAGATCTAGAATCTCCGATCGACGGTTAGATAGCTGGCCAGCCAGCCAGCCAGCGCCAGTCAGCCAGCTGGGCATTGGTACTGTAAATGCCTCTGTGTAGTTTACATACTTACATGGGTCGTTGGTTGTGGTGGTGGTGGAGAAACAACAACTGTGAGGCTCTCAGATTTTCTTTTCTTTTTAGCAGGGGGTGGTGGTGGAGGGAGTGCTGTTGTGTTGGCTGTGTGAAGGAGTAGGGAGGGTTGTTTCACGTTTTTGTGCGAAGGGGATGGGATGCGCAGGTAGGCAGGGAGGAAAGCAAAAAAAGGTACCCGCATCAATTGCACTGGATGTGGGTATCCATATCGAGAGAGTCAAGCATGCACAGTTGCAATTGCCAGTTCAGTGGTCAGGCGCGAGTACCAGGAGGTTAGAGAACTCTATTTCACGATACTTATCCTACTCTACACGCATCTTCCTCTCTTAGTCGCACCATGCACGTGCCACAATCCAATGGTCCACGACCCTCTCACTAAATCAATCATGTATGCATTGCGCCGACAGCTGACCCTTCTCTGGTCGACATTGATATATTATCCCTTGGACGGATGAAAGTTGTCAAATTCGCGACCTGGACCGTGCACCACTTAGTAAGGGAATTATCTTGCTTTTTACGGTTGGCAATAACAACAGAGCCAATCAAGAATTTCGAACAATTGCCATATTAAGCTAGTGATAGCTGAAAGAGTGTGGTCGCGAATTTGACAACTTTCATCCGTCCAAGGGATACTCTGCAATGCAACCGGGGGGTATCCTGCGTGTGGTGCTGATAAGCGACGACGACGAAGACAAGAGCACAAACCCACGATGGAGGAGATATTTACTCGTAGTTTTTTGACGTTTCCGGACGCGACCACTATTGCATGCCATACAAAAGATAGCCTTGGCGGGTTTTTTCTGTGTATGCAATAGCAGTTGCGTCCGGAAACGCTGTGAAATTACGAGTATTCAATTGCAATTAATTCCGTGAGGGGAGGAAGTAACCAGGTCTAATGTACGTGTGTAGATCTGGCTAAGTAGGATAGAGTGGTGTAGAGGGGGGGAACTATCTCCGGGAGGGCCCGCAGCTACACACGATGGATGCGATAGACGACGATAAGTAGAGTACGGCGAGGTTTTACGTAGTAGCAGGTGGGGCAGGAATTGGGGTTTAGCGTTAATTTTTCTGTAGCGCAGGTCTCACGATAATTCCAGAGCGAGTGGGTTTTTTTTGTTTCCCAGCCTTAGAAAGCGGGTCTGGTTCTGGTGTTGCCAATTTCCAGTTTCCAATTTCCATCTCAGCGTAGACCTTGAGGAGACTCGCAATGTGGTCTTTTGCGTTGCTTTTTCTGATGCTGCTGCTCGCATTTTTCTTTTTCCTTATTGCGTTCCTTTTTTTGCTTTTGGGCGGACATGCGGAGCCGAGAATTGAGTTATTCACTCACTGACTGACTGACTGACCAGCGTACAGCATGCAGCCGAAAGACTGATAGATTGATAGACAGACATACAGACAGACATAGAGTAACAGACATCCGATGATCCTTATGGTTAGAGGTGAGTATCGGTATGCCATGTACCGCAGAAGTCGAGTCAGTCCTCAACGCTCTTTTGGTTCGCCTGATGCGGCGCGTATGCTGTCTCTGCTCGTCTATGATTTACTCCACCACAACTAACTAGCGCTTGGGTCCCCGCTAACACTCGCTCGCTCGCTCACACTCACGCACTCGCTCACTCACTCACGCAAATCAACCACTAGCGCCCCCTAAATAAAGTTTGCCGCTAGTTACTGCCCGCCATCTCGTCGCTTAGCGATCCGCTACATGATTGATCTAATATTGCTAGTTAAATCCGTACCTACATTCCAACTGAACCCTCGAGCCTCAGGACCTCCTAAGTAAAGTAGATACATGTAGATATATACTCCAGAGATCTATTTTCAATATCGCCCGATTTGACACCCCGTATTCACCTCCTGATGTTCCGCGTACCCGGAACATCAGCCAGCGTGCTCGTGAGGCTGGGGCGGAGTCTTGTCAGACTTCAGTCAGTGTCAGTGGACCTTGCATATGTATGCTGCTCTCGATAACGACACGACGGATAAGGAATTCGGGTCCCCCCCCCTAGGCCCTCCTCATACGTTTCCCATGCCCTACAATCAGCATAGCCAGTGCAAACGGTAGTCGCTGTATCCGCGAGAAAACACCGTGATTAGTATTTGGCTGAGTTGACTCGTAGATTTTGAGTTTTGAGCGGATCAGAACAGTCCCGTATAGGATATATTACTTACATGTACATACGGTACCGGCGCAGTAGTCTACCAGTACTGTACGGTACGTACGTGCTCTGCTGCACAGAACACGCAATAGAGCGCAAGTAAGCTTGGAAAGCAGCAGTAGCACAGAATAGTTCAATTGCTTTTATTAATATTAGCTAACCAGGCCACCGCGTTACGTACTTTCCGGGGCGGGGTAGCTGGTAGGGCGCTGTTCGTATTCGAATTATTAACAATCACCAAGAGCCAGCGCAGCTCCGAGTGACAATTAATGGACGCACAACCACTTATACTAGTACTACCGGTCAAGATGTACCCAGCACAAGTAATAGTAGATAGAGTACCATACCTACATGTTGACAATAGAGTAGAGCAGGTGTAGAAGGTACATGTAGGTACCAGCTCTAGACCACTATACCTACCTGGGTAATGTTACTCGCTCCCCTCCACTACTTACTCAGGAACCAGAGACGAGGCTGACATTCCAAATACACCGGGTTGTGGTGCTTACATACCAACCCCCCTAGCTTCCCCTTCCCTCCCTCCCCAGAGTGTCTCTAGAGTATTAGTAGCCTCGTGCAGCATCGCATCGAAGGGGGTCCAGGAATAACAACAAGCAGCAGTGCTGCACAGAACCCCCGATGGAAGCTTCCACAGACATTCCGTACATAGCCGGGGATGTACAGTGTGAGTACGCTGCCCTGCATTCACCATTGTGAGGCTCCCCTGTGTATTGTGTGTGCGAACTACTCTACTCTGCTAGTACTGTGCTAGGTCAACCAAGTCACGCTACATGTTCTGTAGGTAGCCGTCGTGGTCGTTTCGACATCCCCCATTGAGGGATAAATAGATAGATGGGATGGAGGGGCCATCGTGGGAAAGCATAGAGAACTAGAATTAGGGCAGGCCGGCGCCAACAACAGCAGTAGCAACAGCAGCAGGAGGAGCCTGGAGGAGTCAGTGGCAGCAGCCATGTCGCGATTGTAATTGTTGGGGATTGGGGCGTGTGATCTAGAGTCAAGTTTAGCAGAACAGAGCTAACTGATATGCAGTGAGTGAACGAGTGTGTTCGCTCGGCCAGCAGAGCAATTGCGCAACGAACGAAGGATTTTTTCTTTTCTTCTTCCTTCCTTTTTTCCTTTCACGATAGCGGCGGTGGCGCTCTAGGTACTCTTTGCTCTACTCTAGTTATTCCTTCTTCTCTGGGCCCTGTGCTGCATGCATATGCTATGATCCTTCCCCTTTAGCTTTGTAGACAGCCCATGTTTATCAGAGTGCCGTTGTTGTTGTGTGGGCTGTTGTTTCCCCAGCTAGCTAGGCCTTCCACCTCTACTAGTGCCGGCCGTTGGAATTGGGATCATCGTTACTGTCTGGACCGTGGGCGGACCAGGATTTGTTTTCAACGCGCCCTCCGTCCAGTGTCCAGACTCTCACTCTACTCGGGGGAACTATGATACGCGCGCGGTGGCCGGATTAACTTAATTTTCCAGGCCTGAGTAAGTATTTAGCAATGTCTCGTCTAATGGCTAGCTGCTAGCGAGCTAGCTGCACATACTATCACTCTAGAATTAGAGTAATATGAAAGGTTTTTTTCTCTCCATTCCTCCCGCCTCCGGTAGAGTAAGAGTAGAGCAAGACAAGACAGAGTAGAGTAGGTACTGTATGTCCGCAGCCGCGCGCGCGGCGCCGGCGCCGCATCAACCTCCCCAACTACAGCATAATCGCGAATTCCGGAAACCCCATGACGGGGTCTTTGTCAATTCCGAATCCCCATGGTGCAGGGTTAGGAGGAGGCGGAGAAACGGTGATGTGCAATTCTGGTGGATGATGAGGAGAGTGAGGTTTGCGCGAGCCTGCCTGCAGCAAATAGATAAGTTCTGGCAGCACATACTTACTCTGGAAACTGCTGTTGCCCGCCCTCGAGCTGGGTCGGATCAATGCCACTGTTTCCTGCCTGTATATTATAATAGGCCATGACATGACTTTCAATATTGAATCTCTTACTAGCAGGACTTATTCTGCTGCTAGTACGTAGTAGCGACATATTTCATAGTCATGAAGTTCCGTCGCAAAGCAAAAAAAAAAAAAAAATGCGGGGCGCAACATAACGGAGATCACAGGTGTTGTCTGCATGCACCTCTGCAACTCACCTCACCTCATAACAAGCTAGAGTAGACCATCCAGCCCTCGCGCGCGTCACATCCGGGATAAACTCCAAAATGACAGAATCATAAAAACGAGAGAATCGATTTTTGCATATCGCATTTTTTGTTTTCTCCCCCTACATATAACCATACATAACACCAAATAATGCATAAACCACCAAACATTAACCACCACCATCCAATACCGATAGGCCGGTCTCACGGGTCTGGCGGTCTCATGGGAGGGAGGGAGGGCATTATCATATTTTCGTTTTTTTTTTCAGTTCAGTTCATTTCACTTCAGTTCAGTTCACCCAGGCTCGACCGTATTTATTCCAGTTTACCCTTTTTGTGCATAACATATAAATGTGACGGGCCAAAACAACATTATCGATCCGTCCTCCTCCCCTCTACTCCTCCGACCCCGCCAACTAGCTCACGAACCTCGGCACCTGCGTTCTCGAAACAGTAAATACAGTATCTAACCCTTTTCTGCGCTGGCCAGGGCTTAGACTTTCGACTATCGCATCGTCTCGTCAGCCTTGCGACGTTCCTCTACATAGCACTGGTGTTTATGGTGGTGGGTAGAGTAATAATAGTTGCAATAGTAATACCTTCTCTCTCTTCCAGTCCACTCGCACGGCGGCGGACCCTCGCAAGTATGTGGAGTCGAGTGAGCGAGTATGCACATACGCATACTTACAAGCACTTGCATGTTGACCCGGACCACTGCCTCCCAAGTCCTGACCCGGGTCCCACGAGTAAAAATAGCAGGCCAAGATAAACAAGAAAAGCGCTGCATGTCTTCTAGTTCTACACCAGGGTCCCCAAGGGCCCTGCTCGACTTTACCACTCTTGGATCCCAAGAGAAATCCAACTCTTCTCCCCCGAAGAAAAGGCCTAGGGCCCAGATGGAAACAACAACAACAAGACTCGAACTGGCCTGGCCTGGCCAGGACCCCAACAATGAGCGAGGTCCAGAGGTTTTTCCAGGCTGCCCACACCCCCGGCCCCACTCCCTAACCTGTAGAGTTAGCAGGCAAGAAAGTAAAGAACAGACAGAGACACAACCCAAGCATCTGCAATTGCGCTACTGGCGGAGAGGGCTGAAACTTGGATTCTTAAGATCGCCTGCATCAAGTTGCCGCAGACACCCCCCGGAAGTACTCCACACCAACCCCCTTTTGGGCTTTGTTCTTGTAATAACAGTAAAAAAACCAAGCAGGCAAATGGGAAAGTGGGAAAAAATGAAAAAATAAAAAATATGACTCTGGTACATACCCCCGGGTCTGGCCTTGCAACTTGGGGGGGGCATTATGACCCAATCCCTACCTCTTACTTGCCTGGTCCCCATGCCTGCCAAATTCCACACACTCCGGTCAGTCCAGTCCGCCCTACTACCACTACTATGAATCTACCTGATTTTGATTGATACGTACCTGTGAGACGTACGCTCACCACCACAACCAGTCAATGTGTTAAATCCATACAGCCCCCCTCCGACGATATATTACGCCCTGATTCCCCCGTCTAAAAACCCTTCCATCAGATCACGATCCGCACAGTATTCTTGGACCCTTCAATTGAATCTTGCCTTATAAGAACACAGTCCCCTCCTCGAACAGACTCTCAATCAATCACAAGAATCAATAAGAAGAACATTGCCTTCACACAACTCAGTACTACGCACAATACAAATACCACGAAGCTTCATCAGTACTACAGCAGCTACTACACTACTACAAAGACTACTACTACTCAACCACTACTACCACTACCACTACTACCTAAAGCTTTCAACGCTCCCAACCCACCCCACAAATAATTTCAAAATGTTCTCTTGCGTAAACCAGCCCAGAGGATGCCGCGGAAGAGTAAACCAGATCAACACACGTTGCGACAGCTGCAGGGTAAGAGATTACCGAGAACCTTCACATGAAAGCAAGATTTACTAACAACCTTTGCAGCAACTCGGACTCCGAAAGACCTCAATCTTCACTGCCCCGAGCCCATACCGAAGACCCTCAATAGATCTCCCTTCATTAGCCTCATCGTCGAACGAGTACGAGCAGCGATAAAAGTCTCCGATTTCCAAACCAAATCATCTTTTTTCGATTCGTTCCTCCTCTACTACTACTACCACTACAACAATCCTCCCTCCTCAATCGACGAAACTACTTTTTGGGCTATACTTTTAGTTTGGATCAATTTTTCCCATTACTATTTTTCCTTTTTTCATATACTCTCCGGTACTTGATCTTATTGCTTTTGTTTTCTCCAGTTATTTGTTTTTTCCGGATTTCGTATTTGGGGCATCTTTTTTTTTCCTATTCCTTTCTTGGTGGGGTGTTAACTATTTTTTTCTTGTCACGTTACGTCATGGTTCCTTTTTTCTGATTTTTTATTTTTTTCCCTTCTGGTAAAAAAATTTCACTGGAGCGACGGCGTTTGAACGGGAGTTTTTTTGGGGGACAAATTTTTGGGTTTTTTTTTGATTTCCTTAACCAGGTTCAAAAGCCTGTGTATCTTTTTACTTTTTTTATTTTTTGGGATGGACACAAGACAGACAGAAGAAAGAAAGAAAGAAAAAAACCTTTTAACAAAAAATTGGTTTTTTATTACCTATCCACTCGTTGTTCCTCTCCGTCCGCGTTCGTTCGTCGTGTTCCTTTTTTGCAGTTCTGGGTGCGGGCTTGGTGTTACGGGGGCCGCGGTCATTGGCTGGTTCGGTTGAGCTATCGGCGGGGGGCCGCGCTAGTGATTGGTTGTGTTGCGGTTTGGTCTGGCCCACTTGGGAGGGGAGAGGCGAGCGCAGAGCCGGGGGGGGGGGGGGGGGGGTGCGGTTATGGTGGCTATTCGGGGGGTTCGGGGGTGGAGGTAGAGAGGGGGGGTGGAATGAGGGAAGGAACATCATGCACCAAGGTGATCTCGAGAGAGGGGAAAGAGTTTGAGAGAGAAAGGGACGGGGGGTTGTGCTATGTCGTCAACAACTCGGCTCCGGCAGCGCAGCAGCACCAGCGCAGGCAGACAGACAGCATCATGGGGTTCGCTTCGCACACTTTCGTGTCCTCGTATCCTCAACAAGCTGTCGTCGTCGCATGCTTGTCGCTGGTCGCTGGTCTGATTCGGGAGAGTGGGGTGGGGGCGGCGGGCGGGACTCAACGCTTTTTCGTCTCGTCTCTCGTCTCGTGGCTCATTTCCCTACCTCCCCCCTCTCTGCTCTCTCTCTCTCCTCCGGTCTCTCACGTCATATCTTCGCTCGCTCTGTTCTACCCTTCCTCCCTTCTTCCCTAGCTCCCGGCTCCGCTTCGTCTCCGCTGCTTCTGTCTTTCTGTCTGTCCGCCTTCTAGCTAGCTCGGCTGGCTAATGTACATGTATCTGTATGCTGTATGTGCATACTACACTGGGAAGCATTTTCTTCTTCTCCCTTTCTGTGTTTTTAGCGGTCTGTTTTGTATCTGTTCATGTCGGATGACGGAGGGTGACGGGTTGGGCGGGTTTGGGAAAGGATAGTAATATCTCTTTTTTTTTACCCTGGTGTTTTATGGGTCTCATTATTTTTTTTACGGCTTTGATTTTTTTTTTTGCGATTTTTACCAGCACGCTAGTTACTACTTTACTGTACCGGGGGAGAATAAGGCTAGCTACATATATCTAGAAGACTTTTCCTACAACTTAGCATCATGGCGCGGAAATTTCAAATGATATGTTAAGGGGAAAAAAAAAATTTGGTCGGAACTTTTTTGGGGGCCCTCATCTTTTCTCACTCGTGATTGTGACGATTGTGATACGACAAAGTGCCAAAATAAAGGGTAAACCAAAAACAGAAACAGAAATCGGATTTCAAATTCCCATATGACTCTTTTGCCCAAATGAAACGGCAACGCGTCGCTCGCGTGATCCACCCGCATTACCATAACATGGATGGTCAGCAGCTTGTGATAATGACAGCGAGAAACAAATAATCGGAATTACGATTTTGGAGACACGCCGGCCCTGCGCTGCGATTTCCCACATCACGACACCGAATTTACAATCGACTTTCTACAAATTACAATACTCTCAGAACCTACATCATGTACCTTACCTACACAACATATGTACACAACCTACAATACAGTACACGAGCTCCCCAACCCTTCGCCGCCGATTCAGCATCAAATCGCACTCACTCCGAATTCGCATTCCCCTATCTCGTTCTCTCTTTCTCTGGATCCCCGCAATCGAATTCACCCTCTCCCACTCTTCTTGCACACAGCCCGCAACCACCATCCAATCTCCACGCACGCACCACGTACCCCTTCCCTGCGCTGCCTCTTCACGATCGATTTCTGTTTCTCCCTGCCTCTCCTCGTGGCACTCACGTACTCACGAATCTCGCACATTCAACATTCAATAATAATTCCTTTTTCACCATGAGGGTCCAAGCTTCTATCTTCCTTTCCTTTTGCTTTCCCGCCGCGCGCGTGTTTTGTGGCGCTTGGTCCGTGGTTTGTATGTTTCGGGGGCCCGGCATGGCAGGGTAGGTGGAGAAGGATCGTTTCGGTAGTTTAGGTTCTGGGCCGTGGTCTGGCCTGTGCTGCGCTGTGATACTTTTTGTGGAGTGTACCTAGATTGCTGGGGGGCACAGCAATAAACAAACTTACATGGAGGACGGGGACAGGGTCTGGCCCCCCCGGAGTGTGGGGATGGGGATGGGTGTTTAAATTGGCGCTCACTCACTCGCTGCGCAGGTCTGGACTGGCCAGACTGATTAGACTGACTGAGCTCGGAGGTGAGATTAATTTTGTTTCTCAGTGAGCTAGCATGAGCTTCCCCATTTGTATACTATCTCCC